AATATTTGTTGGTGAAACAATTACTTTTTGTATATTCTTGTATACAAAGTTCTCACAACTGGGGATACAAAACCATTTTGTCTTGGTCTCCGTTTGTATGTTCAGAGGCCTTAGTACGAGTATGATTTACGTTTAAAGTATTCGAAATGAGTACGCGTTCTGTGCTCTGATTGGCCGGCTCGAATGAACTTACCAATCAGAGCGCCGAACGCGCTCGATACTATTCAGTTACAAATGCGATAGTTATTCGTGCTTGGCACTCTGAGCGCCGAACGCGTACTCGTTTCGAATACTTTAAACGTAAAAAAAAAATCGTACTAAGGCCTCTGATTGGCCGGCTCGAATGAACCAACCAATCAGAGCGTCGAATGCGTACTCGTTTCGAATACTTTAAACGTAAAATAAACTCGTACTGAGGCCTCTGTCCGCATATTCCACGGTCAGTTTATACTGGTTGCATAGCTTGATGTGTTGTCGAGTGTACAAGCGTTCATCTATTTATTGAGACGTAAAAAGAAATGTTCTGAGTATTTTCATCGGGAAATATTAAGATGAGTGTTTGTATGTTTGTTTTGTCGTGTTTATTGTTCAATCAGGCGGCCATGTTAGATTTTGCTCGATGTTAGATTGAAGGTACAATTGTTTAGCACGAGAATATTCGAGTTAAGAAAGTATTATTGAGTGTTAGCTGTCTTGAGATAATACCTATAATCTTTATCTACATACAATTTTGACTTGTGTTCTAATGAAACGCCTGAAGTTTGTTTTTCATTACTGATAAGAACATATAACAAAAAGTTGTTCTATTATTATGTGTTATAATAGAAAAAAGATAAGTTTAAGTGTGGGAGAACCATGCTTCGGTGCGAATGGGCCGGCCCGACCGGTGTGATACTACGGCCTCACAGAAAACCGACGTGAAACAACGCTAGCGTTGTGTTACCTGAATCCCAATTTTCTAATCCCCAAAAGGCCGGTAACGCACTCGTAACGCCTCTAGTGTTCCAGGTGTCCATGGGCGAGAAGCCGATTGCTTATCATCAGGTGATCCGTCTGCTTGTTTCCCGGCTTATCCCATAAAAAAAGTTCCAGTTGTACTTCAATCTCGAAAGAACAGAAAAAAAATATTCTTTATACACACAACAAACAGGATAACTTTATCACACCACAGCCGTTGGTCATTTCTTAATTTATACCCCAAAGCTTTCCCCGTAATATAGTACGGGATGAAGGAAGATAATCATACAATGGATGTGCTACGCAGGACCAGTGTAAGTGATGGCGCCTCTAACCATTGTTTATTATTCCGCGTTCCTTTCTAACCTCACTTCGTAACGTGACCGTAAAACAATGTCTGTTTGGGCTTTAAGATTAACTTTTTGTTAGGAGGATTTATGTAGATTGAAGATTTGGAGACTGCGAAGGGTGACTGGGATACTGGGAAGATGGTCTGTGGATGTTGTCTTTGAGTTTGTGTACTTCGTACCCAAGGTTTATATGTCCAGTAGCATTTTTGCTCACTCTAAATCTAAACGTAGTCTAATCGTAGTGTTTTTTAACGTTAAAGATTTTTTTTTTATTTGTTTTTTTAAACGCTGCCCTATATGAACTACAGTAACTCCACAGTTACAGAATGAAGTCGGTTGAAAATAAAAAAAGTATTAGCAAAGTTCAGTGTAGATACAATAAGATCACGTGTAGGCACTTAATTCAAAGAAATTAAACGCTCGATGCTCTTTATACTGTCTATATGTATAAGTGCGGAATTCCCTATAATTCAGTGTCTAAAATGCCTACTTTGAACAAAATATAAAATACACCTATATCTAATACTCTGAAATCTAGGCCAAAATTAGGCACAAACAGAACGACATGTCTGTTGTTTACAATAATATCTATGATGATTGTAAACAATAAATAAATAGTACAGCTCTAAAGAGCAACAATACATTCATTAGGAATGAAAACACAGACACAGAAGCAAACGCGACTGAAATCATTGCCTCTTGCGATGTAGCTTGTTGTGGGTAAACAGTCGAGTGTACTGAAGTTGTGAGTTGTGAGTTTATTAAAGTCCATGTTTGGGCTGGATCGTGAGGATTAATTAAAACAGTGGATGATATTAACTAAAGGTTCCATTAACAGTCTTGTTGTCAAATAATGACTAGCCAGTCATAATATAGCCATAAATGAAGTCAAATATGATGGCTTTTTAGAGGGGAAATCATCAAGTGGCTCTTCCCGCTCTATATGAGACCAGAGGCTCATACTGTTACTGACTAAAACCACCATGTTCCTATTTCTGCTTCGATCCACAGTAATCCATGCGCTTGTCTGCAGCTTCGATTAAATACGATGGGTAACTAAGGTGTTTTGCATAAAAAAATTATCCATAAGATGTCCTGCCACCATAGTCCTTACAACTTACTTAGTATAATCCGGTAGCTTCTACAAAAACTTAACAAGATTACTTTCAAAACTAAACCAATATAAGGAAGAGACAATCAGACGCTATGGCCAGAATGTATTCCAATTTCTTTGGCCAACACAAATCTTCATAACGGCTCAGACCTTCAACGCCTAACTCCGGCTCCCTAACGCTACAAGATATTACTTTTGTTGTTAGGGCCCTTCCCCTATACTTGTGAGGCATTCTGCATTATGTATGTATGTTTGTTTGGGTGTTTTCTTATTATATCTCTGTTCCCGATAGTTTTGTGATATCGTTTATAGTTCTCTGATATTTTGTTTTTGTTCTATGTTGTATGGGGCTATTTTGATTATGGGTACACTTAGTGGAATTGTCCTGTTTTAGGCTTGGATAGCAACTGTTTGGTCTTTTTATTAGTACCACTAACCATCCTGACTTTGTTTCTTAATTAGATTTGCTGATGAATTTCGTGTTAAAAAAGGAGTTTAATTTCGCTACGTATACGTATGTTCCTGTATCATTAATGATGTATCAATGAGACTAAAAACATTTGTAATGATGGAGTTTCGTCCTCGTTCTTCTCCATTCGAAACTACACTTTGGAACGATCGCTTAGCTTCACTGATAGATAGATGGACAAATAATTCAATTTTTGACGTTTAAAAAGTGCCTAATTAAGGTTTGATTGAAATAAATTCTTTAACTTTTGACTTTGACGTCATCCTGTTCACTTTTATTGACCTAGTTTCCAAAATAATTATGTTTACCAACAGTTCTTACTGTCTCAGTATAACATATATCTAAAGAAACGCGTCGTTCCACACAATAACTTATTACCACCTAATGACACGAACATATTTTCCTACAAAAATAAACTTAAGACCTACCACTCCCGGTATATCAGGCCCACTGCTTGCCCTAACCCTAATCTACGAAGCAAACATAACTAATACCAATATTATCGTTAATAAGATCTCTATTTAAGATCCACGATAGAAATAAACCAGTTAATCAGATCTCTATTTGGGATTCAAGTTATTAGGGAGCAATCGATCGGCAAGTCTGAGATAACGGAATATTGCAGTCTCATGATAAACTAAGGGATTAGAGTTTGGAACTGATTTTCTCGGAATAGGGAATCTATCTTTGGATTGATTTTAAGATATTGGTTTGTTGTGGGCAATGGTGTTAATATGAAAGAAGTTGTGTAGAGTGAGCGACAGATGGATGAATTAATCTTCTCCTCTTATCTCTTCTGATTCAGTTCGTTGCGGGAACCAAGACAGTTATTCATGCCCCTGGGACGCGCCGATTTTCATGGTTGTATTTACTGTAAATCCTGGCTTACAGAAGTTGCAACGGTTTTGGGAGGTTGTGGCGGGCTTGTCCCAAATAAAAAAGATGATGAAGGAGTGATTGATTCAGCTAGGCTATTCTGTGACTGTCAATTAGAATTTTTGAAGTTAGCTCTATAGCATTCTCGCCCATCATTGGTCGAGATTATTTTCCCAACCAATGACATGACGGACAGCGATCAAGTTCACTTTGCTCTTTCGAATTGAAAGTTACAGAATAGCAGCCTTTTAGTAAAAAATAATTTAAAGTAGTGTAGATATAAGCTAGAGATGTGACGCATTCGAAAGTTTATATCGAAATTTTCGGTTTATACGATCTAAAGAAATATACTTTTTCCATTTTAATATCTTCATTTAAAGTCCCGACGACTTATTTCAATAAGTATTTTTTATATATGTTTTACATTTCAGTTTCTACGTCTACAACAATTTGGTACCAGCAATCCTACGACAGAACAATCAACTAGATATGCCTGAATGGATTTCGCAAAAACTTAGTCTAGGGTCGACCTTCCCAGACAGGCCCTCAGGCAATACTTAGACATGTTGCCTTGTACTATCTAGACTAGACCCTCGGGTGAATTTGATTACTCAACTCAAAGTTTCAAGTTGATGATAACTAAAGATCTTTGTAGTAGGTACGCAAGTAGGGTTCTGATCAATTTCTCAGAACTTTTTCTTGTAACTGGTTCGTGCAAGCTAAGCTTCTATTTATTTTAAGAATCGTAATGTGGTATTTTAGAATTCCAAAAAATATTGCATTTAAATGATTTGAGAATCAATACATGTTTGTTGAAACAGTTCTATCAGACAACATGTGCAATAGTTTGTTTCCTCTCTCTTTGGGAGTAAAATAAATCATGAGGTTTTATTTCAATTGGTTAGGGCTTTTTTTTAGGGGGAGAAACCATCGAATGACTTCTCCCGCCTGGGTGAGGCGGGAGGGAGTGTCAGACTCTTACTGACTAAAAACCACCCCGTTCCTTCTCCTGCACGTCGAGCCGGAGCCCCGGTAACCCATTAGGTTCTCCGCGACAATTGGTTAGGGCTGGGGCTAAAAGTCACAATACTCAATCGATTTCCGTCATAATCATTCTCAAGACCACCCCTGGACAAAGACTTTCCTAAAGTTCCCTAAATACCTGTGGAACATGTCTTGTTCCACTTCAAATCTCTATGCACATTGTATTAATGTTAACGTTTCTTTGTTTCAGATGTAGGTTACGACTACGTAGTAGATCAGCAGCCGATAGGCAAGCTGCTGTTCAGGCAGTTCTGCGAGAGGAACAGGCCTCAGTATCACAAGTACAATAACTTTCTAGATGCGGTAAGTACCTACTCATTACTTGTATACTAACCATCGTGAGATACTAAATGAATTAAAAATGCCGGTTCTTCACAGTAGAAATTAGGGTTGCCACCTTTTTTTTGGTATTTAAAGTACATTGACGATTATAGGTAATAAAAAAAAGTACATAGTACAAAAATAAAGTACAATTTATTCTTATTTAGTATTATATTTTAAAATATATTTTCATTGCTTTTGGCAGTTTGTATTAAATTAGTATCTTTACTAATCAATTGCTTTCAAATACTAAACAATTGCATCTTTACTAGAAATTATCTAAGTGGCGCTGGCGAGTGGCGAAATCGATTCAACATAATCGATAAATATCGATATCGAATCGATAAATTTACCGAAAATTACTTACGACTTTAATAGAAATGAAGTTTGCAAAAATAAAGTATTTTCGTGTACTTTATTATTCTTATAAAGTTTAGAGTACAATTACCTTAAAATAACGTACAATACTTTATTGTAAAATACGGGTTGGCAACCCTAGTAGAAATTGAGAAAAGCTCAACTAGTTTCATGTCACAATGGGACTCTTCCTTGGAGTGGATGCAGTGACGTTGTCGCGTAAACCGGCATTTTTAATAGTCATTACATTCCTATGTACTCATTATTTTCTTTATTTTGTTCTTCATTTCTTAACCTCTCATCTGTCGATATATGTGACACAATAGAAAACACACTGTGTCGCGTAGATCTACGCTCCACATACCAGAGGTTAAGGTACTCCAAATTTTTAATATGTTCTCAAGTTATAGCTACGTGTTCAAGTCCTATTTCCATTTGTATAGAACGTCGACATTAATGAAATAATTTTAACATCTTTCTTTCTTTCCATGATATGGAATCTGTGTTTATAATCGACCTTGCTTGCTTGTTAGATTTGTCTTTTATCTCATCTCTTCTTTTTAACTGCTGTATCATTTATTTGTATAATCTTTCACATAATTTATCCATACTTTCTTAGATCGCTAATAAAGCATCTTTCACATACGAGATCGATTACAAATTAGGTTGTAAAAACTCCTAAACAAATGAGATTATTCACATCGCCAATTTATCACACGCACAGCCAAATTCTAACATTCAGAAAGGCAACCTTTGCATAATATCAAAACTAAATTGGCAAGAAAACCAACGAATCACACAAATATATACGAATACTGACCTAAAAAGAATGTTTGATCGTATTCGTTTGTGGTATGGAATCGATACGCTATATTCAGATGTGGTCATTCCCGAATCGCCACATATCGAAAACATGAAAGCCGTTGCCATATAAAGGCAGAAACATGCACATATTGTTTGATTGTTCGACATTGTCCCGTCCTCCATAATCGGGATTTTGTCCGGCTTTGGATATGCCATTTCTTTTCGTATTGCTATGATTTTTGTTATGACTATGTTATTTATGTGTGCAATTTTTAGCTGATTTAAAGGTTAATCGAATTTGAAAAGTTCAAATTGCAAAAGGTTACTGATGCGATTTTGAACTTTTGGTTTCGTCAAAATTTCGTAATGAATAGAATGTCTTGTAGAATAGTTTGTGATTGACACTTGGTATAAATGTCCGATTAAAAAATATAATTGCAAAGCATGTTTTTGTGTATCCAACTCAATATTGACTGCACGGTTGGTGCGGTGGCTGCGCAACTGGCTGCCGCGCAACGTTTCGCGGGTTCGATTCCCGCACGGAACAACTCTGTGTGATCAACAGATTTGTTCCGGGTCTGTGTGTTATCTGCATGTCAACTTGTATGTTTGTAAACGCATCCACGACACAGGACAAAATCCTAGTGTGGGAGCAACGTTTTTTAACAATAAAATTCTTTTATAATTTTTTTATACATTTTTGCACCTAAAATGTACATACCTATCGTATCGCAAAAGATTTCATCATTTAGATATTTTTTCATCAATTCTATTCTTTAAAGATTTTTAACTGAAAAATAAACTTTATGGATGTAAACAATAGTACACATCCATGATCCACTTCAACAGACTTCCATAAATATCTGAGTGCGGTTTCTATAAAATCTTTCTATTTATTTGTATTTATTTACCAGAGATAGAAGTTTAATACATTGTGTATGGAACTCATATTATCTATTTGCATATTAAAGGACCTAATGCCATCAACATTTGCTACCAGCCCTCCTAGCTAGGTCATATTAAAATTCTATCTCCTATTTAAAAAGATTTTATTGAAACCAGCCTTAAATGTGTCCTTGAATCAATTCATCTACCAAGATAAACATCAATGTTCGAAGGTCTATAGTTTTGCTTGCAGACAGACAGGTATGAGGTGGAGGTGGACGAGACGCGTGCGATGCTCGCGGCCGAGGTGTTCGGCAGATACCTGAAGACTGACGACTGCGAGGCTGTCACCGACGTCGTCAGCCGACAGGTCATTGATGAAGCCAGCGCTACTATTGATGGTGAGGAATCTAAGATGGGTTTGTTTGTTGTTAAAGTTGACCAATGGCTTCAGCATGTAGAAATAATGATCTTGGGAGGTTGATTATTATGTTTTCGGCTTACTCACGTAACTTTTTGAGACGAGAAACTAGGCTAGTTTCAAGCCATGCTAGTCCTAGAGGCTCATATTCATGAGCACCATTCCGCAACACGCGACGCGGCAACTGTCGCGCGCTGCTAAACTAGACAAGTTCATTGTCAAACAGTTCCGTGAGTAAGCCGAAAATAATAATAAATCTTAGACGTCTTTGTCATCGATAACATTGATCATAGGTAATTGTTAAAATAGGTTCAGCTTTAGTCTGCAGGAACACAGATCTAAGACAAGAGGTTAAGCTGTGCTTACGGTCATGGGGATTTAAGATCACTAAAAAGAATCCCAAAGCCACTAGTAGAATCATACCAATTGGCAGTTGATTCCATTAAGTAGTAAAATTCAACTGAATTCAACGACATGTAACTAAATTCCGAAAACATAAACTTTAAGTTCTATAACTCCCTTCTCAGTACATTCTTAGTTCATTCTCTATTTTCTAGTTATTACTGAATAATGAGTCTGAATAAGTGTGAAAAACAAGTCCTAAGTATGCTAAACATTGCTCAATGAAGCTGTCTGACTAAGAATGTGTCTAATGACGGTCGGTTCATAATCGATGAGACCATTAACGATTTTTGATAGAATCTCTAAAAGGCTGTCATGTTCCCGATCGCGTATAAAGGGACCTAAATTTGTTACGGTAGGAAGTGATTAAAAATGTTTATAAATTAAAAACTGCTGCACCTTTATAGATTGGTCCAGATTTGGCGTAAAAAATAGATGTTAGTTTAAATAGGTTAAACTCTGTGAAAGCTATTTTGTGTCTAGATTTAAATGCTAGTCGAATTGGATTTAAATTATGTCATTTAGGTTTATTATTAACTAGCTCTATGTCAATAATCTAATATATTTTTGATATAGCAACTTAGATAACGTCTTTAACACGCCTTTTACCCCCGAAGGGGTAGGTAGAAGTGCACTTTGCAGCACTTAATTCCACTGTAAAATGCAACATCCAGTTTTCACTATTCACACATTGAGCCCCATGTAATAGGGAGTGAGACTATTGCCATATACCGGACACGATTTAGGACTCCGTGCTACTACTGAGATTTAAAAAAAAAATACTTTGCCCGACCCGGGAATTGAAACTGACACCACCAGCATACATTTTTCTACCGACAATTTTAGTTACATTATTCCTTATTCTGATTCCAGCCGGCGCTAAAGACATATTCATAGAATGCGTGCGATGCGTGAAGAGTTTCCTAGCGGGCGCTCCGTTCGCGGAGTTCGAGCGTTCCATGTACTTCCACCGCTACCTGCAGTGGAAGTGGCTGGAGGCGCAGCCGGTCACGCAGCACACCTTCAGGATGTACCGGGTCCTCGGCAAGGGAGGCTTCGGAGAGGTCTGCGCTTGTCAGGTTAGTGGGAATTTGCAATTTTGTTCTACTTACCATTAAGTTTATAAAGTGAACTCATCTAATTCTGTGACTCGCCTAATAATTCGGTTTAGTAAATTTGGTAGAACTCTTAGGTTTCTAGAAAAAAAACTGATTATTTGTGCTAATATTCCTCATAAAAGACTGATTAAAACTCATGCGGAGACTGAATTAAATTAATTAATAATTTATTGGTATTTTATTACTTAAATGCCTTTGTCACGAAGTTAGATGAGTTCACCCTACTTATGAAACCCCCTTTTTGTTGTACCAAAAAATTGAAACGAAATACTTTTCTTGTATTTTTTATTTGTACTGATCGGAATAATCACCCATGCAATCAATGCATCTTTTTCAACGCAGTGGCAGTTTATAGACCTATTATATTGAATAACACTTTTTTTGGAGAGTATAAAAGATTTAGGTAAAAAGTTTCTAGGTAATTTTATACTATGAAATAGATGCATTTGCCAGAGGCCAACATTTCCTAACTAACTAGGACTATTAGAAATAGGATGTGTTTAGTTTAGTGAGCATTCCATTATAGGTACGAATTAAATACAGTTCTAAGCGTAGAGGACTATGGAGCAGTGGACGACTTAACGGTTTTTTATGGCATAGGCCGGTAAACGTGCTAACGGATCACCTGATGGTAAGCAATCGGCGTCGCCCATGGACACCTGGAACACCAGAGGCGTTATAAGTGGGGTGCCGGCCTTTTTGGGATTACGAATTTGAGGATTCAGGGATTGGAGAAGAGTGGGGGGTAATTGGGCCTCCGATAACCTTGTCTACACGACGAAACACAACGCAAGCGTTTTAGTCAGTAAGAATCTGACACTCCTCTCGCCTCACCCGGGCGAGAGAAACCATTGGATGATATTCTCCCTCAAAAAAAAGCGTAGAGGACTACAAAAGTACACTATATAAAGTACCTCGAGCACAACATATTACTATACCATAATACCCTAACCTGACTATCGTTAATGGAAATTGAACTTTATAATTTGTCATTGGACTAAGTACATCTATTACTCGTGTTTCAACCGGCCACAACTCCCCACTAGACCACGAACAACATCACTTCTAAATTGTGTATAGAGAACTCTTAGAGAACAATTATTAAGTTGGTTAATAGATTTCCTTGTCGCAGTGTTTCCTATAGCCTCTCCCCTCGAGTTTCCAAGTTTCGAGTGAAATGGGTCGCTTGTCCGTCGGTTTTGAAGTAATATTCTGGAAGGTTCTGCTCTGCTAAACGACAATGCGGAGTTTAATGGATTCCCGGTTATTGATACCGAACGGGTGGATTATTTTTCATGTTTTTAGTTAGGTCGCTTTTGTATTCAGCTAGTTTTGTAATAGCGAAGAGAAACCTTAATAACTAGTTCTTTTGCATATTTCCGGGTCGGGCAAAGTATTACTGGGTTTTTAAAAACCTCAGTAGTAGCATGGAGTCTGAAAATGTGCCCGGTATATGGCAATAGGCTCACCCCCTATTACATGGGACTCATGACATAAATAGTGAAAAGTGGGTGTTACATTGTACAGTGGCATTAAGTGCCATAATGTGCACCTATGCCTACCCCTTCGGGGATAAAAGGCGTGATGTTATGTTATGTAGAAATATTTTGTAGTTAATGGCAAGAAGACATCATAAGGTCTATAAAAGAAGACTAGACACGTAGATTCTTTGAAAAATACAAGCCAACGAGCATTTTCTTCCTAATAATTATCCTGCCAACTCTCAAGGACACCTCACGACGTCGATCAATCATGTAAATATTATGTCACCAAAGAGTGATGGTTGCTAACTTTCAGCCTTAGTAAATATGTAACCATTGTTTACATGAGGTCCACTAAGTTGGGCCCTTGCCAACGTAGGAGGCAGGATACGATTCTAATAGTTTCCGAAATAAGGTGTGTGGTGTGTAAGTTTTATTGTTTAGCCACTAGTTAGTGGAATTAATTGTTATTAACTAATTGGTCCGAGGAGATAAATTGTCGTTCATTTTATAATATAGTGTCATCGATTTTATATACAGGTATAGGTCAATTTGTCAATAATACAATACAAAAGACAATAGGTCAATAGGTCAAGACTGGACGGTAGGTTCGGTGGTTGGACAACTGGCTGCCGCGCAACGTGTCGCGGGTTCGATCCCGCACGGAGCAACTCTTTGTGTGATCCACAAATTGTTGTACCGGGTCTGTGTGTCATGTGTATTTATTTATTTATTCAAATAGGTATACCAACAGCTTCTGTATACATAGCATTAACTCGTCGAGTACCGGTTTTATAGACACAATTAAAGAACAATAGGTCGCGGTCACCGGTGACCGCTTGGTGTTTGACAGATTAAGTGATTTGAAAGTAACATTAAGTATTTAGGCTTATACAGTCGCCAATTATAGGTTAACCAACATGCAATTACTTAAGTGATAAAAAAAAACTATAAATACAAAAATGAACGAGAACATGTCGTGAACTTGTATGTTTGTAAACGCACCCACGACACAGGAGAAAATCCTAGTGTGGGACATCGTTTTGCCTGTTACATTCTTTTTCAAGAAGACAACATAACATCACGCCTTTTATCCCCGAAGGGGTAGGCAGAGGTGCACGTTATGCCACTGTACAATGTAACACCCACTTTTCACTATTTATGTTATGAGGCCCATGTAATAGGGGGTGAGCCTATTGCCGTATACCGGGCACAATTCCAGACTCCGTGCTACTACTGAGAATTTTTTGAAAACCCAGTCATACTTTGCCCGACCCAGGAATCGAACCCGAGACCCCTTGCCCGGCAGTCGCACTTGCGACCACTCGGCCAACGAGGCAGTTATTTTTTTTTCAAGAAGAATTTCTAAAAATTAAGAAGCTTCTAAAATAATCCAATATGTCTCGTTCCAGGTCCGAGCGACAGGCAAGATGTACGCTTGCAAGAAGTTGGAGAAGAAACGCATAAAGAAACGCAAGGGGGAGGCCATGGTGCTGATTGAGAAGCAGATCCTCCAGCGGATCAATTCGCGTTTCGTCGTCAACCTCGCGTACGCGTACGAAACTAAGGACGCGCTGTGTTTAGTACTCACTATTATGAATGGTTAGTAAGAAAATTATCATTACCATGTATTACTCAGTAAATTTGAGGTTCGAAGACCTAAACTCCCTCGCCTCTTGAATGGCAGTAATGTATTTGTGATTAGTTGTAACTCGTCAGGTCATCTTGAGCGGTGCTGATCTGACTTACCTTCAGCTGAAATTCCTATCCCATAAGCAAAGTCGCGGAGAACCTAACGGGTTACCGGGGCTCCGGCTGGACGTGCAGGAGAAGGAACGGGGTGGTTTTTAGACAGTAAGAGTTTGACACTCCCTCTCGCCTCAGCGCAGAGATTCGATGACTTTCCCCCCTTAAAAAAAATCCATAAGCAATACTGCTAGCAGATGCAGATGGACTACCACTACGCTAAGCAATCAGCATTGCCCATAGACACCTTCAACACCAGTGAATTTACAATGTTTCTGAGTGTCTTGCCGGCCTTTATTGTTAGTTTAGTACATGTAGTGTTAAAATTGTAACGTGGTCTCCAGGAGGCGACCTGAAGTTCCACATCTACAACATGTGCGGCGCGGACACGGGGCTGGGCTTGGAGCGCGCGCGCTTCTACGCCGCGCAGGTCGCGTGCGGCCTCGAACATCTACACAAGATGGGCATCGTCTACAGGTAAACTATATACTACTGTTTGTGTAAAAACTATTGTGATATTTAGAAAACTTGTTTTTTTTCCAGTCTTTTCTAGTTTTTTTCCAGTCTTTTCTAGTGATCATCATTCTTATGTTTTGTAAACATAATGCACATTTTGGTAGTATCTCGCCGCCGAAGAAATGTACAGATAAACGCGTTGCGGGCACCCGCCGAGAGTTGAACGAACGCATATACGAGTTTCGGACACACGGTGAGAGCCGTAAGAACGCGTATAAAATATGAGTTTCCGGCACACGAAAAGGGCAAACATTGAACGTAATTGTGCGTAGTTGGGCACTGAAAAAATTCACAGGGCAGTGATGCATTAAAGAGGCTTTCTGTCCTGTCTTAATAATATACTCTTATTGATAAACGTACGCTGTGAATAGTTACATAAACCTTGTCCGTCTAAGAAGTGGCTTTTGCTCAGCAGTGGGCGCTTACCGAATGATGATAATATTTACAGAGTTTGTAATATTTCCAGGGATTGTAAGCCGGAGAACATATTGTTGGACGACGCGGGCCACGTGCGTATCTCGGACCTCGGGCTGGCCGTGGACGTGCCCGAGGGGGGCAGTGTCAGGGGCCGCGTCGGGACTGTCGGGTACATGGCACCTGAGGTATGTGGCTTCTAATCTTTTTAATAGTTTTTTTTTCTATCTAATGATCATTGAACTATTCAATTATCATGGTGTTATATTAAATAGATGTAGTTGTGTTCATTCAGGTAAGTCACCCGGGGAATTACGGGGCAGTTCGACTATTTTCGAGTCCGATCGGAGCCTTCAGATAGGAGCTAGGCGCGTTATTTTTGAGTCCGATGAGTGGCACATGAAAACGATTCCTTATAGATAGCAATATATGCCCTTCTACATAGGAATTATTAATCTTTTATAATGAAAAGGACATTTTTTTATTGAGTTTCCAGCTTTATTGCAAGTTAATAAGATTGAAGCTATCTGCATTCATACTCTTCAAAGTATATTGAACGTATTATTATTATATATTGCAGGTGATAGACAACGAGAGGTATACGTTCAGCCCGGACTGGTTCTCGTTCGGGTGCCTGGTGTACGAGATGATCGAGGGCCGCGCCCCCTTCCGCGCGCGCAAGGAGAAGGTCAAGCGGGAGGAGGTCGATAGGAGGGTCAAAGTTAGTGTATTTTCGTGTGTAAAATGTTTTTTTTTATTCTTTTATTTTTTTAAGAAAGTTTTGAACACAGTTCACGCTAGTTCCATCATAACTTAAACCTATTTAACAATTAATGTCAAAAAACAAAATACATTAGAGACTATACTAACTAAAGACTAGTTTAAATAGTTGTAGTCTTTATAAATAGTTTAAAAAAGAAAGACCTGAAGGTTTTTTTGCTGCAATTTGACTGTACTTTTTGTGATTGGTTTCAATTACACTAAAATGGACCTACTTTTTAATTTTCAATTAAACTAAAATCTGGGGGCATGGGTGAGCGTCGCCAAGATACTCTAAGTTCAGAAAAATTGTTAATGTTTGTCATTATTTTCGGATCTATGTTACGATGGCAGTTATCAAAGCTGCAGCTGTAGCCAAATGCCATTTAGCGTTTGTTTACATGTAGAATAGAAAACCAAATTATATGGAATTGACGGAAATTTTGACACTTGTCAGTGTCATCCCCTTACATTGAGTTTTCTACTCTCTCTGTAGACAACCGTTAAAGTGGCGTTTGGCTAAAGGCCCAGGTACCGCCACGTTTTGTAATATTATTTTCAATTATAGAAAATGATTGTATTTTTTCAAACAACTTTTATAGATGTCCAAATTTCTACACCAAATTTTTGTTCATTTTCAGAAACTATGAAAGATTATCATAAAAGTAACATTGTAATTACAGCACGAGCAAGAGAAGTACTCGTCAAAATTCAGCGAGTGCGCGCGCGCGCTGTGCACGGCGCTGCTGTGCAAGTCGTCTGTGTCGCGGCTGGGCTGCGGCGCGGGCCGCCGCGGGGCCGCGGGGGTCAAGCAACATCGGTTCTTCGCGCACCTCAACTGGGCGCGCCTCGAGGCCGGCATGGTCGACGCGCCCTTCGTGCCCGACGTACGCAGCTTTTTTTTATTTTTTTTTAAATAAAACGTTGCCCCACATTAGGATTTTCTCCTGTATCGTGGGTGCGTTTACAAACATATATGGTCACATTACACAATGACACCCAGACCCGAACCGACAATTTGTGGATCACACATAGTGTTGTTCCGTGCAGGAATAGAACCCGTGCATTGCAGCCGGTTGCCCAGCCACCGCACCAACCGTGCAGTCAAACCGCTCCGCTCCGCAAAGCTCTTACCCACTCCCATAAAAGTTACATAACGGTGATCAGGATTTTAAATGAAAAACAATTTATTTATTAACCCGTCTTGTGTCTAAGACGTGATTCCACGCGAACACAAGATATTTTCTATTGTGTCTCATATCGATGCATTCAAGCGGTTAAACAAAGTGAGTCTATTACCATATATCGGGCACAATTCTATTTATTACATGGGTATTTGTTACATAATACTATTACATGGGACTCTTATCATAAATAATGAAAAATGGGTGTTACGTTGTACAGTAAATAATTTGCAAGGTGTTTCCGTAATGAATATCCTACAAGACTAACATACAATTAAATAAAATATATATGCATAATGCTAAATATGCACTTTAACTTCTACGTGATATGTCTGCAATTTGATCGGCTTCATCAGCAATCGGTTTAGTGGTTGCACGAGCTGATCGATTGCTTAATTGTATGGCGCAAAAATTTTTATCACAATCTCAGACAGGGCAAAAATATAATCTTTCAGACACCTAATAGCAATCATCTAGATACCTGACAATCATAACAGTTACGGCAGTCTCTATTATTACCTGCGAAATGTAATGAACTGGCATGACGCGCCACTGTACGCCTAAATGTATTTACATAGTTAACATCAATATGAAATCCAAATACAAAGCTTCGACTGAATGCTTAGTCGATCGTATTTATAAACATTACCATTCAAATTGAAAATTATAAATACAAGTCGAGTGTTATAAATAAATCCTCGAACAACATCATTTGAAATTATAAACAAATCAATTCTACTTACAAGTTAATTTAGGCTTAGCTATTAAATGCTAATTTAAGACTGCATTCTTTTATTATACCTCGCACGCTAATGCAGGACCTAAGAAATTAAAGTCGTGGTGGTGGAAGCCCGCTTTTCATACATGAGAATGCGGGATCGAAATCTACCAACGGCAAGTACCAATGTGGCTTTTTCTGAGCTATATGTACTTTCTAAGATTATCTAAACACCACTGACAAAAGGTGAAGGAAAACACCGTGAGGAAACCTAAGCTTATAATTTCTAATTATAAGTTTGAAATCGCCAACCCGCATTGAGCAAGCGTGATGATTAATGCTCAAACCTTCTCCGTGTGAGAAGAGGCTTTGCTCAGCAGTGGGCACTTATATTGTTGATGATGAAGAAAAAATTAAATATTGTGTTCCTTCAAGTAAAATTAAAAAGCATTGAATTCTAAGGGTTGTGGTGCACGTAGCGAAGGATTTATTATCCACTAGCTACTTCTGCGCGGTTTCACACGCTCTGTTCAGCTCCTATTGGTCGTAGCGTGATGTTTTATAGCCTATAGCCATCCTCGATAAATGCACTATCCAACACAAAAAGAAGTATTCAAATCAGACTTGTAGTTCCGGAGATTAGCGCGTTCAAACAAACAAACAAACTCTTCCGCTTTATATCTATATATATATAATTCAAGGGTGATTGACTGACTGACTGACTGACATAGTGATCTATCAACGCACAGCCCAAACCGCTAGACAGATTGGGCTAAAATTTGGCATACAGATAGATGTTATGACGTAGGCATCCGCTAAGAAAGGATTTTGATAATTTCCACCCCCAAGGGGGTAAAAAAGGGGATGAAAGTTTGTATGTAACTTTGTCAGTTTTTAACCGATCGGGTTGAAATTTGGCATGCAGATAGATGTTATGACGTAAGCATCCACTGTGAAAGGATTTTGATAATTTCCACCCCCAAGGGGGTAAAATAGGGGATGAAAGTTTGTATGAGACTTTGTCAGTTTTAAACCAATCGGGTTGAAATTTGGCATACAGATAGATGTTATGACGTAAGCATCCGCTTTGAAAGGATTTTGATAATTTCCACCCCCAAGGGGTAAAATAGGGATGAAAGTTTGTATGAGACTTTGTCAGTTTTAAATCGATCGGATGAAATTTGACATGCAGATAGATGTTATCACATAGGCATCCGCTAAGAAAGGATTTTGATCATTTCCAACCCTAAGGGGGTAAAATAGGGGGTGAAAGTTTATATGAAGCTTTGTCAGTTTTACACCGATGCAGATGAACTTCGGCATGCAGGTAGATGTTATGACGTAAGCATCCAAAAGTAAGGATTTTGATTATTTCCACCTCCAATGGGGTAATGTAGAGGATGAACGTTTGTATGAAGCTTTGCCATTCTTACACCGATCGGGTTGAAATTCGGCGTGCAGATGGATATTATGACGTAAACGTCCCTTTAGAAAGGTTTTTGAACATTCTCACCCCAAAGTGGGTAAATTAGGGGGTGAAAGTTTGTATGATACTTTGCCAGTTTTAAATTGATCGGGCTGAAACTTTGCATGCATAAAGTTACTATGACATAGGTATCTCTTTAGAAAGGATTTTGATAAATTCCACCCCTAAGGGGATAAAATAGGGAATGAGAGTTTGTATAAATCGTCTTAGCCATTGAATTTAGATTCATTGAATCTTTTTGAATTACATTCGGTGAACGATGATTCGGGACCTGGGTAACGTTTGATAGTTTTTATCACAGATGTCCCACGGGAACGAGAACTATGCGTTAATGCCCCAGGACTCTCTAACTCTTAACCACTGAACTTATTTTAGAGAGATTCGGTACAACAATAGTCGATAGAACAGTTTTTATTACTCAAACCTTACGTGATCGGGCACTGTACTGGTAAGATCCCTGCGGGATTATTTATTTATTGAAACTACGAAAAATCATTTCAAAATAGGTAAATCTTACTTGGGCACTGAATTGGTTTTGATTAATTCTGTCAGAAGTCATTAATCTACGCGGACGAAGTCGCGGGCAACAGCTAGTAATATTATAAGATTATAAGATTATAAGTTAGTAAGGGATATCCTTACTTCTATGGAAAGGAAGTCAAAAGAAAAAGGTTTAATATAGTCAATTCAGACACATTAAACATTCATTCGTTATCCTTTTTCCTCGTTACAGCCACACGCAGTATACGCAAAAGACGTGCTGGACATAGAGCAGTTCAGTACCGTGAAGGGAGTCAACCTGGACGCCGCGGACGACACCTTCTACGGCAAGTTCAACACTGGCTCCGTCAGCATCCCCTGGCAGACTGAGATGATTGAAACTGGATGCTTCACTGAACTCAATGTCTTTTCTAGAGGTAACTTGTGATTTTTGAAATATTTGGAATAAGATTTGGTGTAGTAAAAATGTGTCGTGGTGGCCCGGAGGTTTAAGACGCCCGCTTCTCACGCATGAGGGTGCAGGTTCGAAACCTACCAACGGCAAGTACCAATGTGACTTTTTCCGAGTTATATGTACTTTCTAAGATTATTTAGACACCACTGACAAGCGGTGAAGGAAAACATCGTGAGGAAACCTGGACTTATAATTTCTAATTATAAGTTTGAAATCGCCAACCCGCATTGAGCAAGCGTGGTGATTAATGCTCAAATCTTCTCCGTGTGAGAAGAGGCTTGCTCAGCAGTGGACATTATAGGCTGTTGATGATGATGTAGTAAAAATTGTTAGTCTGTCTGTAAAGGTAAGCTATTGAGATACCTTGAGATAAAACATGTAACTCCATGGTTACTTGGTTCACAGTAAGTTAGGTTAAAATGTACTGAGAAAAGCTCTACTAGTTACGTGTCTGTGTGTATTTACGTGAGTGACTCGTAATTTTTAGTTAATTCAGCATGCCTTATGGTAGTTTTTATAAAAACATAATATTGTTAATTTACTTTGTTGGATCCGAGTTTGAGGATGTAGTACACAAACATAGAACACAATCGGGATGGTTTTCCATCGATGCCAATTTATTTATAGCACTTAGACGGAATTTAAGGCGATGAAAAGCAACATTTTACGACAGATTTTCATGTCGTTCTAAGTAATTTTTCTAATGATTTTGGCCTTTTTTGCATAGAGAGGAGTGGAAGGAGGGTAGGGAGGCTTTTGCCTTGCAGTGCGACGATCATTGCTGAAAATAAATAAATGAAATAAATTTTTTTCGTGCTTTAGGGGAAGACGGCAAGGAGTGTGCTACAGTAGACCTGCAGCTAGTCCCGGCGACCACGACGCCCGAGGAGGAGAAGGGATGCTTCCTATTTGCCAGAAGGGTAAGTTATCTTTCATTTTGTTCCAATATTAATATTCTATGACTTATGTGTGAGTCGAGAATATCTCGAACAATGTGCATAAGTATGTAAGATTAAGTGTTGTGTTCAGAGTTTCCGCCTGCTGCGTGTTTTGTAAGCTTGTAATTCCTAAATAATATTCTGTCCCTATTTCCAGGTGCTATGTCCGCAAAAGAAAGTGTCAGCGCGTCTCCGCGCGGTGCCGGTCCCGGAGCACCTGTTGCTGCCGTCGTCGCCCGCGCCGCCCGGCGTGACGCCCCCCGCGCCGCCGGGCGTGACATGCCCGGCCCCGGCGGAGCCTCCCCCGGTGGGCGCGCCGCCGGCGGCCCTGAGCTGACCGCCCGCTGTACGCAGCCCCTAGACGACGCCGGACATGGCGGTGCACTGCCGAACACGTGATAACTTCACGTACAAGTAAGCACAAATATTACCTAAACGCTAAACCCCGATTAGAAGAGTCTTACCACAGTTTGAGACACCTAAAGCATGGATTGCGTATGAGTAACGCGACCCCGTGCTGACACCAATGAAGATACAAAGATATAGAATTATCATAGAAACAAATGAATAACAAGAATAGCTAATTTAACAAATTGACGTGACCAACATCGTCTCGACAAATCTTATCGTCCACTTAATTCAAAGACATTATTGTATGCAATATTTTGTTCCTGACGTAATTTTAATTTTAAAATGTCGTGACAAACTTAATTAATATTTAAGTTGTTTTAATAACGACTGCCTTATGGCGTAACTATATAACGTAATGTAGCGTCAATTGTGTAGAAATTAATTTGACTTGGCGATACGCTACCGTGCACCTTTTAAAGACAAAGTAAAATACTAGCCGAATATGGTAATATTAAGCTTAGCTAGTTTTGAAAAGGCAATGAATTATGTGAAAATAAACTTTATACTTAGGTAGAGAGAGGTGAAAATGGGATAACATGTTTCAATCAACTTCTATGTTCTACCTTCATGTCCTATTGTCAAATAATTATATGTGCGAACTTATGTTTAAATTAAATTGGAACCTGTATACGTAGTAATATGATGCATTATTCCTTGTACCTGTCGGTTAGTGTTTTATCTTCGAATGTTATATTATGTGACGTATAATTTGAATGTTGATTTTGGATCTATTTTTTGTTTATAAAATCTTCTGTAACTTATTTGGAAAGATGCACGTCACATAAATTATTTTTATTATTAAAACAGTGCAGAATGAGGGTTTCTTTAGATAGAATTTTTGAAAGAATATATGGCCATGCCCAAACATACATAACTTTACAGCGAATATCAGAGCAAATAATACCTTATTTTTAATTATGCTGAGTCTCTTATGATTAGGCATAAGTGCTTAGACTTTAGCTCTTTTAATTTCCCTTTCATTAACATATAGATACAAAAACAGCATTCATTAAAATCCTGTAATATTATAATCATACGTAAAAAACATGTTAAAGTGACCTGTTAAAAAAATCATGAACAATTTAGTTTAAGTTCATTTTTTACGCTGGCAATTGTAAGGTTTGCTGTGATGAATTTTTATCTATGGTTTGTAGGGATGTGAGACAGTGTTGTCTTTGGATTGGATATTATTAAAGTGAGAATAACTTACAATTGCTAACGTTTTTATTTAAGGGTATATTTACAATATTTTGACTTAGCTGTGTGTAACCAGAAAGTTATAATTTGTGTTTCACAACAGAAAAGATTTTTGTCTGCTGACCAAAGGTGTTCCCTCCCAAAGAGAAAGTTTGAGCATTAACTCTTTGAGTACCGTCATTATAGACACAATTAAAGAACAATAGTGTGCGGTCACCGGCGTCCTCGCGGTGTTTGACAGTTTGAGCACACTTTTTCAATGCCGGCTGGCGATTTCAAACTTAGAGATTATAGCCCAGGTTTCCTCACGACTGCCTCTTTGGCCGAGTGGTCGTAAGTGCGACTGCCGGGCAAGGGGTCTCGGGTTCGATTCCCGGGTCGGGCAAAGTACTTATTACTGGGTTTTTAAATATTCTCAGTAGTAGCACGGAGTCTGGAATTGTGCCCAGTATATGGCAATAAGCTCACCCCCTATTACATGGGACTTATAACATAAATAGTAAAAAGTGGGTGTTACATTGCACAGTGGTATAATGTGCACCTCTGCCTACCCTTTCGGGGATAAAAGGCGTGATGTTATGTTATGTTTCCTCACGATGTTTTCGTTCATCGTTTGTCAGTGGTGTTTAAGTGATCTTGGAAAGTACTTATAACTCGGAAAAAGCCACATTGGAACTTGTCCTTGGTAGATTTCGAACTTACACTCAAGTATGAGAAGCGGCGTCTTGAGCCTTCGGGTACGACGCGTTTTGCAGTTTGATAAATTAAATATTTTACAATGTCTATTGTTAATTAATATTATTTGTTTCTGGCAATACTGTTGTGAAGTCAAAATATTTTAAGTATATCTTTTAGATATTTGTATTTCTCATGGATGACTGATATTATTCTGTAACCATTATGCATTTAGCTCAATAGTTAACCTTTGGAGTATTACACGAACAAACAAATATTATTTATTATTACATTATTAATTTATAATCATTATGTATCATCGTATTATTCTCAGTAATCCGTCATTATTGATATTATCAATTTGTTTTATTTATAAATATATATTTCATAGAGTTGTTTATTATTTATGTTTGTGAAATTTTAGACTAGTGTTGGGTCGCAATTGTTTAAACTAATTTTATCGATATTGATTTTGAAAAATTACGTAAAATCGATGCCAATCTAACATTTTAGAAGGGATGCCCCTATTGTTTGGTGAGTAGAAATATATTTAAACTTATACATTTTTATAAAACAGTTTTAAAGGACACTTTTTTAGATTCTTTTGTAATTTCAAATGTAAAGAAATAATTAAATATTTCCTATTGATGGCTTTATAATATAAACATTTGGGTCGAGCCGTGGATTGTATGGATCACAATCTTAGTTGAACTTGACATTTGAACATTTTTTAACTTTATGAATACTCTATTAAACTCGAAGGATATTAAAAGTTTTTATATGCAATGATGGCGTAATTTAGCACTTATGTCCAGTTTAGCTAAGATTAAAATCCTGTAAAGCTTAAATAATAAGCGTTAAGTAATCAGATATTATGTCCATTCTAAGCTAAGACCTATTAAATATCATAATATCTTTATGTTCTGAGAAAACAGACATTTTTAAAATGCAGTTTTCGCAAAGAATCCTACAGTTATGATAGCAAGTCATCCGCCTCACTTAAGTCACTTATAGCTAGAATAGTAATGAAGCAATAATAATGAAACGAATAGAAGGAAATCTATGGAATCTATGTTTATTAGTTGTCTTTCGTCTGTCGTGGTAGTGTAATGTAATAACATAACGATACAAAGTGAAAGTGGGTACTAGTGAAGGTTCTTTTGACAAGAGACAGAATACATTGAACTTCATAAACCTCCGCTCTCCTAAACATTGTGAATATTAAATCGTCGCACAAATAATTGGAAAAACGTTTTCGTCTTACTGTACATTGCCAATTCACTTCCAATATAAACTAGTATAAGTATTGATGCATTTTGATGTTTAACATTTATTGTTATTGAATATTTCGATGCCTATTGTCATTTTTCGAGGCTGACGCGTGTGGAAGGGAACGGTTTATTCAATTTTCGGCTCTATCGTTCTAAAAATAAGGTTGTTATGAGCCATTTAGAGTAAGGAGGGCTAATAGAAATATTAGAAGTGTCGCGTAACTGATATTCTTAAAAATATAATTGACAATTTATTACGGGTTTTGATAAATGTTCCAAACTTGGCTTCTGTAAGCCGTAACAAAAAATTAGTTGTTAAGGAGCTATGTACTAACATTAGTAGTTATAATAAATGCTTGCGATACTAAAATTAGAACATGGTATGCGCATAGTCGGCCGCCTCTGCATTTGCGGGTTGAGAAAATTAGGTTAGACGTAGGAGACAATTTGTTTAAAATGTGGTTGATTGGATGTCGGCCCTTTGGGTAACGGGCCTACGAAGTATGAACAGTGGGGTCTTTTTGATAAAATAATTAGATAGAAAATCGATGTAAGAATCGAACGAGTATTTCAAATTACGTGTGTCGGTGGACACGAATTCCTATGACATGCAATAAAATCGACTCCATTTGTGTTGAAATGAAATATTTTTGTAATTCTCTCGCCGTCTCTGCCACACGCTTTCATTATTCGCCTCCCATTTTTAATCGTCATTCAGGCTTCACTTTGCACCCTGAACATTCGTCGCCATCTTGAGTCAACGGAAACATACGAATGTTTACGGAAATGGCCGAAGTGTAGTGCCAAGGTTAGGCATGCAAGGGTAATTGTGTAAGGCAAGTCATCACGCTACAATTTTTCTTTAATTTTTATTCGCACAAAGTAACGGGTTCACTCGTTCGTTCAATTATTTATTTTATGTTGCAACACTGATATTTGAAATTGTATTGCGACATGACTGGCTGTCAGTTTAAAAATAATTTGGAATTTTATATGAGGATGCACGAATGGTTTATTAAATCCGCATAAAATTGAAATCTTCCGTCCGGAAATTTTTAAACATTCAGCCATGTTGTTTTTGTGAATGAATGGTTGAACTGAACGAGTGATCCGTTCAATGCTTCGACGCTCCTATTCGATATAAGCAATCCATTCGGATATTGACTTTACAACTAATATTATGTTATTATGAAGTAATCCTACGTTTGTTGTAGGGTATTACTGTATACTTTTATAAATACTTAATTATTTACAAGTTGTTTTTACGAATGAAATCAAACTAAAACATGATATTGATTATGTTGAAATATAAAGAAGAGTTTGTATAGTGGGCCGCGATCAACTTACACTATTCTGTCAAACTTTATTAGATTTTCAACTCTACCATTAAGATATGAAATTGAAAATCCAGTGACGAAAATTGACACGTTGAAGTAGGTCGGCCACTGTGCTATGACGGTTTTGTCCTGTTACTTATTTAAATCATGTTCTTCTTTCTATCAATTATGTTTTCTAGAAGCTAGAATATATTAAGTTGCACATAAACTAGTGTTACCATCCATAATGCATTTTTTTTATATAAGTTGTTAATATTTTTTTAGTCTTACAAGTTGTAAAGTCAATATTAGAATTTATGTAAGTTGAGTATCTCTCTTTTCGAGTTCTCTCAACGATGCTCAACTCGGGAGCTCAAATTGTACAGGTTTTTTTAGTATTTCTTACTTTTAGGGCGAAATCATTGACCTATGTTATCTGTGAACCATCGTAAATGTAAAACGTGTCATTTTGACGTACATTGACGGTTTTTTTACTTTATTACTCTGATACATTGTGAATTTTTCATACTAAGACGGCGATGTACGTCAAAATGTCATTTCAATTTGTATACTAGTATAAAATAATGTATAAAAGACATTGATACGATATGAATGCCAATATATTCTTATGATAAATAGTCTAGTGTCAATAACACTTCAATATATTGTGATGAATCAATTAATTTGTTTTTACGACGTTCACAGATGACAGATTTTTATGAATAAGCATTTAAGCAAAAATGTGTATGTTGTCACCGAATTTTTGTAAGAATTTATATATAATAATATTAATTATTATTATAAATTAGAATCATACCTGTATCATACTCATTTGATGCATTTTCGACTAAGTGTATTGAAGTGCAGTGGCACGATGCGCAAAAAGTTTAAAGTATACCTTTAATACAAATAAAAAGATAAAAATAGAGTACAAAATCATTGGTTTCTCTATTACAAAGACGTTCTTGGCGGTTTTTTCTAGTAAAGTTGTAGTACTACGTTGCGTATCGTGCTACTGCAACGCGTTGCGCGCTCGGTTGCAATGCAACCGCGTAGCGTTGCTGTATTTAGCTTGATAGTGTTATGGTTAGCTTTCCTTCATACTGTTAGTCGTTATTGCAGTATTTTGATGCAAATATTATTATTTAATAAGCATATTCGTAATAAATTGACTCCGATATAGAATGTTTGTTTTCTTTTTAATCCATAGAAATCCAATCCATTACATACTCACGTCTGTGTATCTGTTAAGTATGTTTTACAAATGGGCTCCGCCACGCACATAGATAATTTATCACCATAGACTATACTATGACCATAGAGTATACCACAGATACACAACAGTATCCCATGGACATCGGTAGGAACCACTGCGCTACGAGCTACTACGATCTTTAACTCCTTTTGGCTAAACAGACACTGGTAAAATATATAGGTATAATAATTAGGTACTTTTCTTAATCAAAAATAAATTATTTCGACTGTTCAATACAATAAAATATTAAAAACCCACATACTAAAATCACTTTCATTGATTGATTTTGTAACCAATTTAATTTTAGTTTTTTTTCCAAAAAATATTTAAGAAATGAGTATGCTGTTTGACGCAAAAAAACATTACGTCACAATACACAAACTCGTACAAAATTCTTATAATATCTACTGTCGTTTTTGACAATTCGAAAAAAGAATTCAATTTGTCTAGTTGGCAAGTACCGAAATCCCTCAGCAACAAAATAATGAAACAACCAAATTAAATTCAACAATTTATTAATGAAATATAAATAACAGAGATGAACACAAACTAAACATGACATTGTTATTATAGTTTGACCAGAACCACTGTACCATACCCTAGGTACGCTTGCAAGATGGTAGCTGTAATGGAAAGCGAGGGCACACAAAGTGATATTAAAACACTAATAAGGTATCCTTGTTTCTACCATTTGGCATGCAAACATTGATGCAGGTTCATCATCAAATATTGTGACACAATTTGTCAGCTAAATATTAAAACACAGTGTTTCTTTTTAAGAATTGTTATTGGTTCTTTATTTATTGAGTTAGGAATGTGGTTAAAAATAACCGGCGCTATACCAAAAACACTTTTCTCATTAAAGTAGTCTTATGGACCTTGTGTGTGTCGCGGAGAACCTAACGGGTTACCGGGGCTGCGGCTCGAAGCGCAGAAGGAACGTGGTGGTCTTTAGTCAGTAAGAGTCTGACACCCCTCGCGCCTCACCCAGGCGGGAGCAGTCATTCGATGATTATCCCCCTTAAAAAAAATACCTAAGGCAAAGTGCAGTGGTGTCGGTCAAAGTATAATTTTTTAATTATACAAATGCACCATGATACAATTACTACTTAAAACTAAATAAGATCATAATCTCGATACAGGTAAGGAAGCAAATTTTTTTTATAATAACTATCGTGAGACATACTAAATTAACTAGCGACCCGCCCCGGTTTCGCACGGCTACCAACCTGCCTTAACTAAAAATCGCGGGTTACTCACGTGAATATACTGAGAAAAGCTCTACTAGTTTCGAACCGCAGAGGGGTTCTTCCTCATGTGCAGCGTGTACTGCATTTTCACGTGAATAACCCACAATTTTTAGTTAAGGAAGAAAATTATTTATAATATAAGAAATTGTAACAGTCTTTTTCGTTAATTTTATATTACAATTCACAATATACATTATAATAAATAGTATTTATCGAATTTATGTCAATTATAAGTAAAATAATATGCATAAAAATTTATGTCTTTAAATGCCCTATTAGTCATGGAAGACAGGTAATAATCATATTAAGGGCCGATTTTACAATGCTCAGTTAAATTTTATCAAAGTGAAAGTCAAAATCATACATTTCAATTAGAAAAGGAAGGCACTTTGGAACAACAAAAAAAATTTAATAGGGAAGCTATTTGCTCATTCCAAGGTGTAGATTTCTATGGCGACGAACGAGCAAGAAACTCTTTTTCAATTAAGTTAACAATACAATTCTCCAGTTAGATAGATTTGTTGAATTAATAACTGTAAATTTTATTCTACAGTTAAGAATTTAATTATTGTTGTAAAATCGGCTCTTAATGGAAGAATCAAATATTACTATTCGAATTTAGGACTTAAAGAAGCAGGTAATATATGAAATGCAATAAATAAATTATTGAAATCATCCCCATGTATACAAAACTGATTGTCTTTTATTTATACATAAACTGAATATAAAATGTTTTAAATATTGCACACTGGTATAAAATAATATTTAATATACTCACACAAGTAATGTTATTTGTTTTTTAATTTATTTCTTTGCAAAGTAACTCAAAAGGTATTGTTAGTATTTTTTAATATTTCTATACTTTTTGCCACATTTCATAATTATTTGAAGATGAATTAGATAAAAATGTTCCTTATCGGCTGAACAGCTTTCAATAAAATTGTCTTAACTTTACATTAACTTTTGTGTTTACATAAACATAATTATATTAGGATATGTATTATATATAACAACCACACTACAACCCGATAAAACAATAATTATTTTAATACAGTCAACAATAAAACATTTCTACCAATCAACCTTTAAAATGGCAACACTTATTAAATGCAATCTTAAACTTTTTAATTCAAATCTTGGTATTGACTGTAAAAAAAAGCAAATTAGAAAAAACAACTAAAACGATTATAACTGTCCTTTGAGAAAACACTACTTAATATAATAATAATGACCAATTCTAAAACCCGTGTCTAGCTACTTATTATAGAATACATACTTTACACAGAAACTTTTTTCTTTTGAGCTTTTTCTTTTCCACCTGCACTTTTCTCTCAACCTGAGCTTTTTTCTCATAAATACGTTGAAATAGAACAAACTTCCCGCTCTGAATGTGCTTAGTTTCATAAATAGCGCCCTTCAAACGCCAAGATGGCGTCTCGCAGTGTTGCCAATTTCTACAATTGCTACCAATTTGTAGTTTATCCAGTAGCTTTTTCGACATCTCTGGTATTATTGGTTGGAGTACAATGCCGCATATTCTTAGCGTTTCCATGGTAACATGTAGGATTACGTCTAGTTCTTTTTGTTTTTCTGGGTTTTTGCGTAGTTCCCACGGTTTGGTGGTTTCAAAGAATAGGTTGGCAACGTGCAAAACTTTTATTACGGCGTCCACTGCTTTGTAAAATTGGTAGTTTTTATAGTGAGTGTAGCATGTTTCTGGAAGAGATACGAGATAATATAATACATGGTAATATGGATTTTAGTGTTTCGATTTACGTTGTTAGCATAGATTAATAGAATCACAAATTACAGGAGAAATATGATGAGATCGTAGAATAATAAAAACGGAACCAGTGTTTTTCATAGATTTTCTAGTAGCTATTCTTACTAAACCGACGTTTTAAGAATATATAGGTACAGCGCTAACTATTGCTCTGTAGTGTAACGTAGATAAATAGGTTTTTTATAGATATGGAGTAGTCCCATAAGCCCTATGGGTCAAATGCATGACTTTATGTACATATGCTTCTTCGATAATTAAACTCTTTATTGGCAATGTGAACTAAACCAAACAGAAGTGTACATACCAGGCAACGCTTCCACATACTCCACAAGTAACGCCGCGTGTTCCCCCTGTAGTAACTGGGTGAACTCTGTCGGTTGTAGCGCGGGGAACTCTTGGAGCGGGTTCAGTGCCGTGCCGCAACATCTTGACGCTAAGTTACCCAGGCTATCTGCTAACTCGGAGTTAGCCACGTTGATTAATTTTGTTAGGCTGAAGTCTGGAAAGAAGAAAAGTATTTAAATGTTGTGTGGTGCAATTTACAGTATTTTAAATTAAAATTGTAGTAGATATTATAGTATTATTGTATTTCAATATGGGCCTTCGTTGCCTGATATAAATAAATATATAAATAAATAAATAAAAATGTGTTAATAAAGAACTGGTCAATCTCCAAGCAGTCGGTGCCGGTGACTGCTCTCCACTTACACCATCTATTATAGACCTTATATCCAATGTGTAGTCCAAAGTGCTTTTGGATGAATAAATGTTGTGGATTTTCCATAATCGATCATTTATAAGTTAAGAATAAATAAAATCTCTTTGTAAGAATAATAATTAAGAATTAATATGTTAAACCACGTAACTTGAGCCAGATACTAATTTCATTCAATCCTACTAATATTATAGCGAAGCTGCGTACTAAAATCTGTAACTATTTGTTCTGTATTTACAAAGCAGCAACATTGATTGCTGTAAATATTTTTCTTTAATGAATTGTAAATCAAGCACAATTTCTATTATTGTTACAAACTACACTCAGTCGCGGAGAACCTAACGGGTTACCGGGGCTCCGGCTCGAAACGCAGAATGAACGTGGTGGTTTTTAGTCAGTAAGAGTCTGACACACCCTCCCGCCTCACCCAGGCGGAGCAGTCATTCGATGATTTTCCCCCCTTAAAAAAAAACACTCACTAGCATCACTGGCCATAGTAGCCTCCCGGAGCAGTAGATACCGCAGTGCGTCGTAGTCCACAGGAGTGTTCCGTGGACAGACGACGTTACCGAGCGACTTCGACATCTTGTTCCCGTCGACCGTCCAGTGGGAGTGACACACGAGGCGACGTGGAGGATGCCACTTTATGGCCATTAGGAACGCTGGCCAGTAGATACCGTGGAATCTGGGAGGTACAGACAGAAATTAGAGATAGACGTGATTTTTATTTCGTCAGTTTTATGCCTAATACAAAACCTGACTTAGATTTTTATTTATTTATTTATGCACAACACACAGACAGTACACCGGAGAATACATATGTAAACAAATTGAAGGTATTTTTATTACTAAGTATGTTTTCTGCGCTTTTATAACACCTAAACCAGTAAACCAATTATAATGAGTTTCTATAAGTATTTTTTGAAATGCCATTCATGCGAAAAAATGGTGTTACTATAAACGTTACATGATTTAATAAAAATAGGGATAACTAGAGGTCAAACCCATTTTGAAGCTCAAGATAACCATGAACACATTACATTTGAAAGCCTTTAAAATTTAAAAACAATACATGTTTAAATTTTACCCGAACTGGCGGTAAATGATCATGAAAGGAATATTAAGCTTACAAGTAGTTATAGTTACTATATTAAATTCTCCACACGCATAGTACCCTGGAATATTGTCACTTACTTGAGAATATCCTTCCCCACAACATGTACATCAGCGGGCCAGGGTCTGCCTCGCTCCACCATGACTCCCTCGTCGGGGTACCCGGCCACGGTCAGGTAGTTCACCAGCGCGTCCAGCCATACGTAGATACTCTGTTCCTCATCATCTGGTACCTGGGATCATCACATCACATCATCATTCGTCATCTTCATCATTGTTATTTACTATATTTTAAGGTTTAAGACTGCCTCGTTGGCCGAGTGGTCGCAAGTGCGACTGCCGGGCAAGAGGTCTCGGGTTCGATTCCCGGGTCGAGCAAAGTATTACTGGGGTTTTTAAATATTCTCAGTAGTAGCACGAAGTCTGGAATTGTGCCCGGTATATGGCAATAGGCTCACCCCCTATTACATAGGACTCATAACATAAATAGTGAAAAGTGGGTGTTACATTGTACAGTGGCATAATGTGCACCTCTGCCTACCCCTTCGGGGATAAAAGGCGTGATTTATGTTATGTTAAGGTTTAAGTACTTATTTAACTTTTCGACGAGTTCACTCTACTAGTTTCGAGCTACGTACGGGGCCCATAACCAAAACACCGATAAACTGTACAAATAATGAATATGACATACCCGTATAGCCCAGTGCACTCGGTTGGACGGTCGGCTGACCGATATATCGGGCAGGTAGGCGTCGTTCGCCAACATCTCCTGTAGTTGCTTCTGGAACTTCGACGGTGTTATCACTCCATCTGTGAAAAAAATGTATTTATCATGGAGAGGAGTTCACATACAAGATGAAAGAAAGTATAGGGAAGAAAGAGAAGAAGAAAAGTCGTGTGAGTGAGGTTATCGGAGGCCCACTTACCCCCCCCCCCCCCTTCCTCCTCCAATCCCTGAATCCCCAACAATCCTCAAAAGGCCAGTAATGCACGTGTAACGCCTTGGTGTTTCAGGTGTCCATGGGCGACACCGATCGCTTACCATCAGGCGATCCGTCTGCTCGTTTACCGGCTTATGCCATAAAAAAAGAAACAAAAGAATATACAGGGTGTAAACGCAACGATATTACAAACATACAAGTTCACATACACATGACACCCAGACCCGAAACAACAATTTGTGGATTACACAAAGTGTTGTTCCTTGCGGGAATCGAACTCGCGACACGTTGGCAGCCGGTTGCCCAGCCACCGCACCAACCGTGCAGTCAACAACCGTCTGTCCGTTTGCCGCCCTATTCCAAAAACTTAACAAAAAATGGTTTATAATCTTATTCAGTCATTTTAGAGTAGAAACTTACCATTTTTCAGCCACTGCTGTAGATGTGACTTGAAGGCGCTCAGTCGGAACATGTAGTTCGTCTCCTCCGTCCATTCCACCTTGTGGCCAGATTCTATTGATACTTTCACCTGGAATATACAATTGCAAACAAAAATTAATGAGATGTTGTTCTTTCCATATGCTAAAATGCAATTTCTAAATCTGTAATTGACAATTTGAGAAGGTACAGTAAGCCTTAAACTAGGACCTAAACCTGACCCAGTGGAGTATAATCACAGACCTACTTACATTTGTACCCCCACCCCCCCCCTTTGATACCCCTGGTGTATTTGTGACGCCTATTGACTCAATGTTTTTATTACTTCCACTGTCACACCTTTATTGTGTTTTTTATATTTTATTTATGCTTCATTGTGCCTGGTGCTGAATAAATGTTTTTTCTTTCTTTCTTTCTTATTGTCTTTTCATGTGGTTATCGTAAGCAGACTAAGGGACTACACAATTGACATAGCAGCACTCCCTAATAAACCTGAACTTTTTAAACTAAATTCCTTTTGCTTACTGCCGCGTGGGCAGAGACGTCATGCATTCTTAAATATTCTACAGTCGGTGGCGTAGTGGGTCAGGTCGCTCCGTTCCCTACGAAATGATTGATCAGACCGATTGCTGGTACACACGTCATGCTCGTGAACGAGCGCCTTCTGCTGGAGCAGGCCGTCTCGCTCATCACGCGGGTAGGCTGATCCGTAGGGTTAATGTAAATGTAATAAAATATGTGTATATGTAGATAGCAGACATAAAGTCCTTTGTGTAAAAAAATGTGGTTAATATAGCATGTAAGATTTTTGTAACTATAAAAAAGAAAATGTAATTGAATGGCAAGAGCACAAATACGAGTCAGTGGACAGTAATAAAACTATTAAAAAAACTTCATTCCTGAATCCACTTGCCAAGCAATGATATTATGGCAAAGCCCCCTTACGCAGCGGAAGCCCCTTAGTTCAGTAATAGTCTGTTGATGTGAAAGCTACTTACATTCTCTCCATCTCTGACTTCATCCTTGACATGTGTCTCCGGAACAAATGCCTCATCGTTCACACTGTACCAACCGCTGTACTTGGACTTGTACACATAATCCTTCTTCACTAGTTTATTCTGTGAACAAGATAATCATTTAAATATATATATAATGTAAACAAGTGAATAAGAAAGAAGTAATACTCAAAGAATACTTACTGTTTGTTTGTTTATTACAATACAATACTAGAGTCAAGAACTTTAATTAATAGACAATTGATTACAATTGTTTGTTTCTTTGTCATCATCAAGATTGTTTCTTTATTATTCCTCCTTGTGCATATATATTAAGTTGTGTTACGTCGTGTGAGGTTACCGGAGGCTCAGTCACCCCCCCTCCCCAATCCCCCAATCACCCACAATCCTCAAATTCCTAATCCCCAAAAGGCCGGTAACGCACTTGTAACGCCTCTGGTGTTCCAGGTGTCCATGGGCGGCGGCGATTGCTTACCATCAGTTGATCCTGCTCGTTTACCGATATATTTCACAAAAATTATTTATTAGAGATAACGAAAAAAAGAACAAAGGTTCCATTCTTTTAGGTAAAAGGGGGAGGTAAGAGCTGGTTATAAAGAAAAATCTACATAAACTCACCCAAAAATGTCTAACAGCGACCTTATGCCTTTCCTCGGTAGTCCGTATAAAGTCTGTGTACTCCACATTGAAGTCTCGGAACAGCTGCTTGTACTCATTGGAGATATTGGTACAGTACTCCGGGAGAGACAGCTTGGCTTTAGCAGCGGCCTGCTGGATCTTTGTGCCATGTTCATCTGTGCCTGGGAATGGATATGAAACTTGATTTAAAAGAAAAAACACCTCTATTATTTATTATTAGGCATATTCTAGATCATGTGTTCAAGATACAATAATCCCCTGATAGGACTTGATAAACAACAGCATTCACGTCAATAGATGGGTTTTTTTAAGGGAGGAAAATCATCGAATGACTTCTCCCGCCTGGGTGAGGCGGGAGGGAATGTCAGACTCTTACTGACTAAAAACCACCCCGTTCCTTCTTCTGCACGTCGAGCCGGAGCCCCGGTAACCCGTTAGGTTCTCCGCGACCAATAGATGGGATATGAATAAGTTTATTAACATCTAAGAGCTTTTAAAATCCAGTAGACATAACTGTACTGAGGATTTTTGAACCGAACATACCTCGGTAGTAGGTAGGTATGTTTTATTCTGAAAATGAAATCAATCAGCTTATGCTATAACGCACGCATCATACTATAAACGATGATTCCTTATTCGAAAGTCAAAGTCAAAGCATTTATTTCAATTAAACCTTAATTACGCACTTTTGAACGTTACAATTTAAGCCCCACAAAACCGTTGCAAAGGTTGGACTGTGGGGTCGAGTCACTAGGCATTACAATTGGGTACTTAACAACTAGTCAAATTCAATACTTTTTAAGTGTGGGAGAGCCATGCTTCGGCATGAATGGGCCGGCTCGACCGGAGTGATACCACCGGCCTCACAGAAAACTGACGTGAAGCAACACTTGCGTTGTGTTTCGTCGTGTGGGTGAGGTTACCGGAGGCCCAGCTCCCTCCCCCCTTCTCCCAATCACCGAATCCCCAACAATCTTTAAACTCCTAATCCCCAAAAGGCTGGTAACGCATTTGTAACACTTCTGGTGTTCCAGGTGTCCATGGGTGACGCTGCTTACCATCAGGTGACCTGTCTGCTCGTTTACGGTATATGCCATAAAAAATACTTTTATCGAAACGTGAAAAGCGATAGTTCCATGAATTTTGTACGAAATACCATCTTATGACGTCATCATATTATAGCGTCAAATAGCACCCTTATATCTAAAAAGAATGCTAGAATAAAACGAAAATTAAGACCATCGGCAAATCAATGAATGAAAGTGTAACTATTTTTCAATATTTATTTAGACTAAAAAATCAAAATAATTTATTTTTGACCCAGGAAACTACCCAATTGTCCGTCCGTCTGTCTTTCAGTGGAGCTATACTCTCGTTACTTGGTTAATGGAATTGTATTTCAATTTTGATGTCACGTCTTAATGTAGTCCACAATTTCATTTTATTAACGAGAACTGCCTCGTTGGCCGAGTGGTAGCAAGTGCGACTGCCGGGCAAGGGGTCTCGGGTTCGATTCCCGAGTCGGGCAAAGTATTACTGGGTTTTTTCAAAATTCTCAGTAGTAGCACGGAGTCTGGAATTGTGCCTGGTATAAGGCAATAGGCTCACCCCCTATTATATGGGACTCTTAACATAAATAGTGAAAAGTGGGAGTTACATTAAGTGCCGTAATGTGCCCCTGTGGGGCTTAGCGCCGTATGTGTAGGGTATCTGTGTGAGGAGTGAAATGATCTGCACTCGTTTAAGTTCGGTATGAGACTGTTTAATTATAAATCAAATTAATACACGCTAGGGCACAGGTGACATCATAATCACATGACCAGAATCGGAATCGATGACATAGAATGGGGGCGATGACCGCCACAATATTCCCCCCTTTTTAAAAAAAATTTTCGTTATACAATGTTAACAATAAGTTCAGTACCTAGAATCTATTAATATTGTCCATTAAATGCGATTACACAGTAAGTACACATACACTTACAGTCCATTATATAGTCCATTATTTACTGATTAAATGCGATTACATATTATTCACTACACTTTTCCACTGTTCACAATATTTCGTTTCTTACACAATGATCTGCTGGGTGGCCGGCCCGTGTGGGACCGGGTCACCTCGGCGAACCAAGGTTGTCGGCAGTTCCTGTAGCTCCCTTCGCATATATCGACCGTAATTTGTTTTGCATTGTCTCCAGAAAAGGTATCCAATGACGGTGATAATGAAGAGCAAAATACAGAGCACATACAGTTCTACTCGCTCTATCCACAGGTTCTTAGTTATGGTTGTTGCAGCAGCGCTGTTACCGGCGCCGTTTTGAGCAATCAGTACTTTTCCTTCGGTAAAGCTACTTTGAGTTTTTCCCATGATGATGTTATATTAAAATGCGTTGCTTACTGAATGTATTTATGACACGAAGCGTACGACAGGTTTGACAATGCGTCCCGATCTCGTAACTAGCGGTGCATTGTTTACATGATCTGTGTCCTTATTTGGTGCCTCTCTAGAATATGCAGTGTCAGGCATAAAAGCTGGCTTCAATCGATCTATACTAACGCATTTCTCTGTATCTGCTTGCAATATTTTATAATATTTCTCATGCTTTTCTATTACCTTGTACGGACCTGTATAGGGTGGCGTTAAAGGTTTTCTTACTTTGTCTTCGCGTATAAATACATGAGAGCAGTTTTTTAAGTCAGCATGAATAAAAACATTGCTTTGCTTCGGATCTCTCTTGGGGACTGCTGATAATTTTGATATTTTTCTTCGTAATTCTTGAACAAAACAATCGTTGTCGTATACGTTTTGTGTATTCGGTTCGAAAAAGTCACTGGGCAATCTAATAACTTCTCCATACACCAACTCGGCGGCACTGATTTGGGTGTCGTCTCGTAAACTAGTTCTTAACCCAAGTAACACTGTTGGTAGTTCTGAAACCCAGTCGCTTGTATTTCCTCTGCACATAAGGGCTGATTTGAGGATACGGTGCCATCTTTCGATCATTCCATTCGACTGCGGATGGTAAGCGCATGTTCGTATACGTGAAATACCCATTTTCTTGGTAAGATGATTGAATAGGTGGGATTCAAATTGTCGGCCTTGGTCCGTAGTCAATCTTAATGGACATCCAAACCTAGATATCCATCCGGTGTAAATTATATCGGCTACTGTCTCAGATGTAATATCCTTAACAGGGTATGCTTCTGGCCAACCTGTACTTCTATCCATCATTGTCACGATGTATCGGTAGCCATCAGAATATTGCATCGGACCAACTATGTCCATGTGTAAGTGTTCAAATCTGTTGCTGTGCATAAATTTTCCATGAGGCGATATTGTATGTCGTTGAACTTTGCACCTCTGACAATTAAGGCAAGCCTTGGTCCAGCTAGTAACATCCTTATTCATAGACTTCCAAAAGTATCTATTGCGAATCATATTTCTCGTTGTTCGAATGCTTGGGTGACTAATGTCGTGTACAGCTTTGTAGGCTGATATACGAAATTCTTTAGGCAAATATGGTCTTGCTACTTCTTTCGACACTTCACAATAAATCGGCAAACTACAATGTGGGAAATATATATGTTTAAAACGTAATGTATTTGATTGCATCAATTCCTTCAATTCCGAGTCATTTAATTGTGCTTTAGCTACCTTTTCGTAGTTGATGCCTGGGTCTATGGACGATATACGTGATAATGTATCCGCCACGACGTTGTCTACCCCGCTAATGTGTTCAATCGCTGTGCAAAACTGCATGATGAAATCCAGATGCCTTAATCGTCTGGGTGTGTCATTGTTGCTAACTGAAGTCTTCGTTAGGGCGTGGACTAGGGGTTTGTGATCGGTATATACCGTTATAGGCCTCCCTTCGATTAGGTACCGGAAGTGTTTCACTGCCATATATATTGCCAATAGTTCGCGGTCGAAGGTGCTATATCGTTGTTGAGTTTCACTGAGCTTTGTAGAGAAAAATCCTAACGGTTTCCATGTGTTGCCCTCTCTCTGCTGTAGCACTGCCCCGGCGCACGTGTTGGAACAGTCGGTCATTAGAGCCATAGGCATCAGTTGACGGGAACGATAAAGTAACTGCCTTTAACAGGCTTTGTTTACTTAGTTCGAAGGCTTCAATACTCTCCTCATTCCATGTAATCGGGCTCTTATCTTTCCTTTTACTGTTTATCAAATATGCATTTAACTTTGCAAAAGTTTCTGCTGCATGAGGAAGATGTTTTCTGTAAAAGTTTATCATGCCCAGGTAACGGCGCAACTCATCGACGGTCTTCGGCCTTGGAAACTCTGATATCACTCGAACTTGTTTGTCGGTAGGTTTCAAACCTTTTTTGGACACATGGAATCCTAAATATTCAAGTTCCATCTTCCCAAAATCGCATTTTGCTAAGTTAATTGTTATTCCAAACTCGTTCAGACGTTGTAATACTTTTCTAACTTGCTGTTTATGAATATTTGCATCATTTTCTGTGGCTATGATGATGTCATCAAGGTATATAAATATGAAATCTAAGTCGCGTAGAACGACATCATTCAAAAATCTTTGAAAGGTTTGCCCTGCATTCCTTAAGCCAAATGTCATTTTTGTAAACTCGTAGAGGCCAAAAGGCGTTGTTATAGCTGTCTTCTCTATATCCCGCTCTGCTACGGGTATGTTGTAATCGCCGCAGGGTCTAATACCTCCATCTTTCTTGTTGACTACATGTAGTGGACTCGCCCAACAACTCTTCGAAGGCCTACATATGCCCATCTCCTGCATACGTTGGAATTCGGCCTTAACTCTTATATATTTACATGGCGGAAGTGGTCGCGGTCGTGCGTAGACAGGAGCGCCTTTGGTGTCTATGTGATGGACTACAGAATGGCGTGGAGTGGTTTTGAAACACATTGGTTTAGTGACATCGGGGAACTCTGCTAACAGATCACTGTAGTCGCTAGCATAGTTTATTGTGTGAATAGTCGGTTGCTCGGATAGAGAGAGCGTAGCAACACAACACAAGCTGGTCACTGAGTCTATTATTTTCTTTCTATGAACATCAACTAATAACTTGTGGTGGTTCAGGAAGTCCGCACCTAATATGGGCTGTTTTACCTCAGCAATAACGAAAGTCCAGCGGTAAGGTCGCCGCAAATTAAAATTTAAGTCTAGAGTTTTAGTGCCATAAGTTCGAATTTCACTACCATTTGCGGCATAAAGCTTGTATTCGCTGCACTTCTCACGGTAGTACGGTTTTTTTATTGCTGGTAGTACAGATATGTTAGCGCCGGTGTCAACTAAAAAGTTAAGTCCACTATTGTTATCTAAAATACATAGGCGGTTGACTGGAACAATGGCACAAATCTCCGCCTGTGACTGCGCCACGATTAGTTTTCCTTGTGTTCTTCCTTCTTCCAGGCGCACGGCTCCACGCATTTTATTGCTCTGTTACGAAACTTTTTGTGATAATAACAAAGCCAACCGGGAGTATCAGGTGTCCGGCGATTCATATGACGCGAACGAGATGCTGATTGCGATCGCCTACGATGAAACGGTTTATTAAAGTTTCTATAATTGTTTCTTCCGCGTCCCATTTCGTCAATTTTTGCAGTTAACTTTGCGATTTCTGCCATAATAGAATTTTGGTCAGTGTGTGTATTGACACTGGTCGAGGTTTGCACTTCGGATACTTGAAACGGTTTCGAGGTCTCCATCACTTTGTCAGCTATCGCGGCGAGAGTCTCCAAATTTTTCGCTTCTGTAACTGCCAGCACGGCTCTCACTGGTGAAGGTAGGTGTCCTTGCCACATAATAGAAAGAGTCTCGTCAGGTATTTTCTCGCGTGCAAGATCTCTCATTCGACGCAAAAGCTGTGAAGGCTTTTGGTCGCCTAACTCCATCTCACTCAGCAGTTTTTGGAATTGCCGCATTTCTGATTCTTCATAAACGGTTAACAACCGCGCCTTCAGAGTTTCGAATTTCTTCGTTTCCGGTGGTTTCAACAAAATGTCGCTAACTTGCTGCACAACTTCTTTGCCGAGCTTAGTGACGACCATGTTGAACCTCGCTTCGTCGCTTAGTTTTTGAGGACTCAGCACTGCTTCGCATTGCACGAACCACAGTCGCGGCTGATCACGCCAAAAATCAGGAATCCTTGAGGACACTGTTACGGTCGCTAGCTCCACCACTTCGGGTTGTACTTTTGGTTGAGTCGCCATTGTAAATTCGAAAGTAATTTGTTCACGTTTTCCGAAAAAAAAAAAACACGTCAGTTGGACGATCACGTCGGGGTCACCATATGTGGGGCTTAGCGCCGTATGTGTAGGGTATCTGTGTGAGGAGTGAAATGATCTGCACTCGTTTAAGTTCGGTATGAGACTGTTTAATTATAAATCAAATTAATACACGCTAGGGCACAGGTGACATCATAATCACATGACCAGAATCGGAATCGATGACATAGAATGGGGGCGATGACCGCCACACCCCTCTGCCTACACCTTTGGGGATAAAAGGCGTGATGTTATGTTATGTTAACGAGAAGTATAAAGTATAGAATGTGTAGTCTCAACAAACATAAATAAAGATGCGCAGTATACTAATTAAGGTTGCAAGTCAAGTAGTAATTGATAACAATCTATTTGCGTTCCTGTATAAACTGATAGTCTTGTTGTTGTTTACTTTCCGGATTTAATTCCAATCAATACAATACTTTCGGAGTCGCGGAGACCCTAACGGGTTATTGGGGCTCCGGCTCGAAGTGCAAAGAGGAATGGGGTGGTTTTTAGTCAGTAAGAGTCTGACACTCCCTTCCGCCTCACCCAGGCGGGAGCAGTCTTTGGATGATTTTCCCCCCTTGAAAAAATCAATACAATACTTCATTTTAGATTTTACATACACTTTACATCTGGTGTAAAAAGTTGTTATATTTTTATTAATGCTGAATTATCTTTCACTAATACTATTTATTTTATGTATAGCCTTATTTTAATTAAAGTTTTTATTTTAGTTTATATAGTTTAAGCAAGTAAGCACATTATTTACTAAAACTCGTGGGGTTACTCACGTGAATATACTAAGAGAAGCTCTCAAGAAAACTAAAATTACATTCCTGCATAAAATATTCATCCAGTACTACTACTCCCACTCACTGTTATTTCACTCGCTTTACTCCTATTAGATGTAGCATGATGTTTTATATCCTATAGCCTTCCTCGAAATAGGCAATTAAATAAAAAAAGCATTTTCCAAAACTAACCAGTAGTTCTTGAGATTAATAGAAATAAACTCTTCAGTTTTATACAATAACATAATATAATATCACGCCTTTTATCCTCAAAGGGGTAGGCAGAGGGGCACATTACGGCACTTAATGTAACTCCCACTTTTCACTATTTATGTTAAGAGTCCCATATAATAGGGGGTGAGCCTATTGCCTTATACCAGGCACAATTCCAGACTCATAATAGACATATAAATATGGAAAATGGAACCCTAAATAATAGTAGCTATCAGCTATGTAATTTACCTGTACTAAAAATCACACGACAATCAGGGTTTGTAAGCTTCTCAAATCTTTGTATGGCATCTGCTACGACAGCTGTGTAGAGGTGACCCAAATGAGGAGCTGAAAAAATTATATTTGTAATAACTATGAAGAATGAAAAAATTAAAAGAAAATTAATGTTCTTGGCAATTAAATGAGAATCTTTGAGGAAAGAATCAGTTCTTGAGAATGTCTAAGGTCAACTGTATGAAAAAATCTATTAACTTTCACTACCTAGTTGTAAGGAAGTTTAATGCCGATCAAGGATAGCCGGAAGTTTAGTAGTTTTAGTTTTACTAAGCAGGTAGTCCCTCAATAGAAAACCCAATTTTCTTTAATAAACTTACCCGCATTCACATAAAATATTGGCGTAGTAATATAAAACGGTGTTTTCTGCACAGCAGATGAAAGTAAACGTAACGATATTCGCATTTTCTAGGAAAATTACCGCTATCTCTCGTTAAATGTTTACCCAGCTGATTCTCAGAAAGGTTATGATATCAATTGTAAACTTAGTGTTTGTATCACCTCTTGTTTGCTTATTACACTCAAGCGGTCCATTCAAACATTTTTATTTACATTTCATTAAATAAGTAATTAATAAAATAAACTCGATAGGACTGTGATAATAACCACAAACGAGCAGCAGAATAAAATTTGAAAGACAAAATGTCAATTCTGTCAATGTCAATTAAATCTATCAATATTGCAAAGCTAACGTTTCAAGAGAACTTCAATAATTACGCATTTTTGTGTGTAGACCTGACTTTTTGATTTTGTAACCTTATATTTATTCCGTTATACGTCAACAATTTGATCTCATTAAAAAATACATAAAAACCACTCTTTCCGACTACAATATTTAAATATTTATGAATAAAAATGTGTAGTTTAGATGCCTGCTAAAATATGTTATGAATTGAAATCGGTAGAAATAAATTACTGAAACATTATGCGCTTGTACAGAAAATATACTGCGTGGATTGGTAATTTTTTTCCATGACTTTACCCGATCGAGCAAAAATGACACATAATTCCTTAAGATTTCGTAACAATTTGTTCACATTGAATTTTGTAGCATTCTCAAGTTGAATCAATGAAGGGATAGAATCGCGGAGTGCGAATTTGTTGTGATATGTGTTTAGTTGAAAAGTAGAGATATTATAAAATAGTGTTGAGTGAAGAATATCGCAGAATGTCTTACGGCAAGATTGTTATTATGGCATGTGGGAGCTTTAGCCCTCCTACTTACATGCACCTTCGAATGTTCGGTATGTAATATTGGTAATCGAAGTTGAAATGCGCAATTATTTTGCATTTTTCATTAATTTCATTGCAGTGAACTTGAACTTTTGACCTTCCGTGTTCTAAAATATCCGTAACTTGATGAAACACTTAGCTTTTTATGTTATAATGTTGTAAAGTTATGAAATAGATCTCCTTGGAAAATATTCAAAGTTACTGTTGCTCTATTTCGGTTTTCTATTTTTTTCTAGAAATCGCACGAGATTATATTCACACATTGAACTTGGGGAATGTGGTTGGAGGTCTGGTGTGTCCTGTGCACGATGCCTATGGGAAGAAAGACCTGGTTCCTGCCCATCACAGGTAAATCTCAAACCATTTTTTATTTTTGCTTATCACCATGATGTCATGTAAATAATTATTCAAATAATATATTTAAAACTAAACCATGACTATAAAATGTTGTTTAATCACTTAATTAATGAACAGGGTAGAAAAAAAGAAATATCAAGTTGGGTTTTATTGACAGTTTTATTTTTATTACATAGTTGATAATTTTTGTAAAAATAATAAAAGTGTAGGTCACATTCTATTTAAAAGGTGCAATCACTTGATTACTCATTTACTAGTAACTTATGAGTCACGATTATTTTAAAAAGGACACACTTTTACACACTACCCAGCTACCAAAAAGAGGTAGGTATAATGTAAGCGAGTAAAAAAAAAATTTTGTTGTTGCTCCTTTTAAAATAATTATTCAAACAATATATTTTAAACTAAACCATGACTATAAAATGTTGTTTAATCACTTAATTAATGAACAGGGTAGAAAAAAAGAAATATCAAGTTGGGTTTTCTTGACAGTTTTATTTTTATTACATAGTTGATAATTTTTGTAAAAATAATAAAAGTGTAGGTCACATTCTATTTAAAAGGTGCAGTCACTTGATTACTCATTTACTAGTAACTTATGAGTCATGATTATTTTAAAAAGGACACACTCTCACACACTACCCAGCTACCAAAAAGAGGTAGGTATAATGTAAGCGAGTAAAAAAAAATTTTTGTTGTTGCTCCTTTTATCATCTTTGTTGGACTATGACAGTATATGTATACCATAATCTGTAAGATTGGTAGGCTTGTGTGCAGAAAGTTCTGTTCTATCAAGGAGTCCTGTTACCAAGTCTCTATTAAATGTGTCTTGATCGAAATATTACCCAAAAATCAGAAGTCACAAGAGTATTTTAACCGCAGGGTTATTACAGGGTATTTATTTAAACAGTTAAATAATATTACATCATGGCAGCATCTTTGCTAAAGATAAAATAATATCTTTTGTTGAAACACTAACACAATAATAATTATCACTGTAGACAGTTCAAGGTACTGATAAATATACAATATCTATTTTAATTTATAACATGTAAATATGAAGACGAAGCAGTAACTTTATAAAGTAAATAAAAGTTGCTATAGGTATTTTGTGTAAATGCGATGCTTAGAGACATTAATGATTTCTTAAACTATTCCTTAGTAATGATTTTGGTCCGAAAACAATTGTAGGTAGCCATTAAATGACTCTGAGTATGGCGCTTAGTATAAGAAAACATAAACTGCACATTCAATCCAGATTATTGAAACAACAATCTGTAGTGTAGTTATACAAATATTTCAAGTTTCAACCTGTAACATAGTATTTGCACAGAAGGTTCCATAAGGAAAATTGCTTAATGCAAACTTTTTAAAGTACCTTCTGCAAGAGGCTCCACTCGCATTCCTGTAAAATAAAAAGTAGCCTATATGTTATTCTAGACCATGATCTGGGAAAAGGCTAGATCATGATCTACTATCTAGAATTCTAGATCATGTACCCCTGCTCTAAATTTCATTTTGAATCCTTTAGCCGTTTTGACACGAAGGAGTAACATACAAACATACAGACTTTCGCATTTATCATCACTATGATCTTGACTGCATTACCTCTTATATGACACTCTACTGCATATATGACTGCTTACCACCAGGCGGTGGTAAGGGGTCAAATGTCAGTCCATCAAATATAAAAAATAAGAAATTGTTGGTAGGACTGCGGTGCCCAGCCTACTCAAATAAACTGTTATAATATTACTGAATGCTCTGTTTTTCTAACCAACAGAAGGTATTATTTTCCTTCCTGCTTGTTTGAAAGGAAAATCCTATAGTTGAAGGAAATAACATAATGCAGATTTATTTATTTTTAGTTCTTGATATATAAAAATAAGGAAACAAATAAATAATATAATTGATCATCACCATGCATCAATTTTATACTTAAGAAGACCATGCACTTTGGACATACAACTTTACAGTACCTGAGTTATTTAAGGGACAAATTGATAGTTACCCAAAGTTGAACACCTATAATTAAGGTGTTATTTGGTCAAATCCCTAAGAGGCCGGTAACGCCTCTGGTGTTTCAGGGGCGACGCCGATTGATCACCATCAGGTGATCCGTCCGGCCGCTCGTTTACCGGCTTTTTCCATAAAAAAGGGCATGTAATAGTTACTATTTCAGGCAACCTTGAAAGATATAGTTATCATACTTAAACAAGAGACCTCTCAGTTTATTCTGTTTCTTCTCCTGGTTTGTAGGTGATTAGGATATGCTCGACTTATTACGCTTTTAAGAAGGACGTGCAAAATCTATATTGGTATAGGTACCAATATAGCTTGGTTAGGACCTAGACATGCTAAATAAAGATCATTGATCCATTTATGAACTTAATGACATTACCGAGTCTAATAGGTACCTATTATTATTATTTATTATGTCTACGACGATCCCGACAGGAATAAAATAGTAAATAAGGTTAATAAAGTATAAACATGCTCTCCATTGCAATCTCTTGTTTGTTTTGGTATGAGTTTATTGTAATCACTGATTGCATATTATACAAATATTATTATTGTAATTAGTGCAAGTTGGATCGAGAGTTCCATTGTCATCATTAAGACAATGGGACTTATGTTTATTATGTGATCCCTGACAATCTTTTACAGGACCATGTGCCTCCTCGGCATAAGACGAGATTCACCACATTTGTTTGCCATGTTGGAGAATATAGCTTAATAGGTTCAGTTTATGTTAGGTTCAGGCTTAATAGGTTTATCAGAGCCTGCTGTTGCACAGCTTAGTTGACTTGTTCGGCAACCAACATGAAGAGTCGTGTCACCAAATGGCTCATTGGTAACTAGAGATGCACCGAATATTCGGTTACTATCCGGTATCCGGCTTATCCGGCCGTAATATACTATCCGTGCGGATACCGGATAGTATTGTACTATTCGGTTGGATACCGGATAGTAAACTTGGTAGATTTTATAAATGAAATCTAAATAAAGACACAGTTGGTTGTAATTAAATCTTTTTATTATTTTGAACAATTTTAATTTTTTATAATATCAAGTCAAAACCTGCACGGCGACCGGCGTGGCGGTACGCGACACGCACCTACGAAACTGAAAAATGTAGGTATCACACTACCGGTTGAATATTCGGCGGCCGGATACCGAATATTCGTTGGTCAGGCCGAATATCCGGTATCCGGATCCAAACAACTATTCGTTGCATCTCTATTGGTAAACATTGGAACATAGCAGTGTAAAAATACAAGCTCATATTATGCAATGGACGAACTGGACATGTATGACAAGGATTGGCTGCTAAAAGCTTTACATAGAGAGGAGTAATAAGTGCTTTTCAGTCTATTCTGTCCAAACCACACTGTGACGGTACTGTTATGCTATGAGTTCGTATGTAGTTTGGACAGATCCTAATATTTCTCGCTACTCCAGTAATTCTCATGGTCACGATGAGTTTGGCATAATCCCCTTTCAAGACTCTTGTTATATTTTAATAAAGAGAAAAAAGAAGTAGAGACGAGTGGAAGGAGGGTAGGGAGGCCTTTGCCCTGTAGTAGCATAATCATGGCTGAAAAAAATGTTTTCATTTCAGAATATCAATGTTAAAACTAGCGTTGAGGTCATCATCATGGATCAAGATATCAGAGTGGGAGACGCAGCAGACAGGGTGGACGAGGACCAGGGTATCTTTGCAGTATCATCAGGTAAGGAGAACTAAGTAACTAGGGACTAGTAGAAAGAGAGACTCCTGCAGCTGTAGCCAAATACCATTAAGCGCTTGTCTACATGTAGAATAGAAAACCAAATTATATGGAATTGACGTGACGTGATTGATACATTTTGATTTCTACTCTCTCTGTAGACAAGCGTTAAAGTGGCGTTTGGCTAAAGGCACTGGATAGACTCTTGTTTTGCGGGTTGGGCAAACCATTGTTAAAGTTTTCGGTTTTTATGAATAGCACAAATCTATCTAGAACTTTGGTGTCAGTAAAGTTAGGCTTTTTGATGTGGATTGAACCACAGATTTTGTGGTTACATTCGCACTGTCTACTTTACGGACGGCGAGTATGGGTAGCTCGCTGCCCGGCCAGAATCAGCGCGCGCCTCAAAGAGCCATCCAGCACCACGGATGGGGCCCAATAGGGCTGTTGCCAATACGGAGTCGCGGAGGACTTAACGGGTTGCTCGGAAGCTCCAGCTCGAACTGCAGGAGTATTTTCCCCCTTAAAAAAACTGTCTACTTTTCGGCAATGAGGCTATGACTACTTCAATTAATGAAGAAATTCAAAATCGATGTACAAAACTGAGTCAACCACAGTCAAACTTAAAATAGCAATATTTAATTGAAAGCAAAATAAATATTTACATTTGAAAATAATTATTTTTGAGGTCACCTAAAAGACTTTTTGTTCTAATTAATTAATTTATCTTCGTGGTTGACCATAACCACAGTCGATTGTGTATGCAGACAGTACGTAAGAGATAGTGTAATGAGGTCCTGTGATCAGTATCCACGACTATAATCAGGTTTGTTGTTGTGGGTATGGAGAGGTGAAGCCAGTGCTCCGACTCTCCTTAATTAACAAGCACATCCGCCCTCTTGAGTCATCTTACTTGATGTGGTTGCATCAGCATAGATGACAATGGGTTTGGGTGAATGACTGCATGTGAAAAATTATGTTTACATTGATAAGGGTAGGAGACTAGGTGGTAATCGCGACTTGGCCTGCGCGCTGAAAAGAAAAACGGTTTACTTATGTTACAGTATAACTTTCTAATTACTATTTATCTTAAAATTTTTGTATGTTTATATCTTTCTAGAAATCTAAAGCAAATAACATAGACACTCGTATTTATAATATTATATTACTAGATGTCCATGGGCGGTGCTGATCGCTTACCATCAGGTGATCCGTCTGCTCGTTGCCTCCTATACCATAAAAAAAGCACGCGGTTTCGACCGCGTGGAAAAAGCAGCCTAAGTGATAACTTAGGCGATAGTAGCAAGGAGTACCTTAATCAACTACCTGCCAATAAAAGTGTCGTCAAAATCGGTCCAGCCATTTTTGGGATTAATCAGACAGACAGACAAAAATTGGATAAACAAATATGTATTTTGAAAATATGTGTCGTATGTTCCTATATATTCCTATAATTATATTCATATGCGCTTGAACAGACTCCAATTTAAAAACACTAAAATATAAGTAAGAGTAACTGGTGACTACTGGTTGTACCAGTAAGCAGACTATAAAGTACGATAACGTTAATTTAAGCTCGTCTTAACTAATGGATTTTGAAGAGTTAATGGAATTCACGTTAATCACTCATAAGTCATAACTGTAACTAGTTTCAGCTACCTAAATTAAAAAGTCTTGATAAGTAAGTCTTTAAGTGTGGGAGAGTCATGCTTCGGCACGAATGGGCCGGCTCGATCGGAGTGATACTACGGCCTCACAGAAAACCGACGTGAAGCAACGCTTGCGTTGTGTTTCGTCGTGTAAGTGATGTTACCGGAGGCCAGAGCGCCGAATGATTACTCGTTACGATTACTTTATACGTAAATGAAACTCGTACTAAGGCCTCAGAGCGCTAACTAGCAATGCTCTCAACAACTAGAATGAAGTCGCTCTAAATCGGTCAGCATTGATTTTTTTATGGGACAAGCCCGCCACTACCTCCTAAAACCGCTACAACTCCTGTAAGCCAGAATCTACAGTAAATACAACCATAAATACTCCGGAACGCTGAGTAACTGTCTTGGTTCCCGCAACGAAGTGAATCAGAAGATATTATAAGAGAAGAAAAAAAAACGATAGTTTTCACTTTCCTCGGTGAATTACAATTAATAATATAGGTGACAGAATGAATTAAGCCTAGAGGCACAAAAAAGAGACTGTACAACTGGGTGAAGCCCAGTAGCCAAGCACCACGGAAAGGAGATTGCCCATTCTTCTATGGACCGCCGTTGCGCATAAAAATAAGTTGTATGATAGCATAAATTGGACATAAACGAGGGGAGATGTCGTATTTTCCAAGAAAATAAAAATTATCTATTTATTTTGTGGGGTTTTAATGTTCTTTGATTTTCAGTTTAAGTTTTGAGGTTAGTTATGTAATTACCGAAAAAAGCAGTCCTTACAACAATATGGTTTGAATTTTCATAAGACAACTGAAAATAGTTGCATCAAACCAGTGAATACTTAATCCTCAGCAAGTAAATAATATTAGGTTCAATGGTAGGTAGGTTACACCCACTAAATGAAGGGATTTATAGGTAAGTAGGTACAAATAGGGAATAGAAATTAATAATGCCAAAATATAGGAATAAGATAGTTTTATTGGTCCGTATGATCATATATCATAAATATGTCATCTAAAAACGTAGCAGGTGGCTCAACTGATCTAAATCGAGCCCAACCAAGATACCACAAAATGGTCATTACGTGTGCGCAGCACCCAACTGTTCGATTACCCACCAAACAACTGCAATAGTAACCAGCAATATCAGCTACTGAATTACATATAGCCCTATTGACCAACATGTATGCATAGTACACCTTACTGCTAACATGACGTGATTTAATTCGTCCCCTCACTAAATACTTGTCCGTTCCCAGTATCAATGGCAAGTCATCCTCAATGTCGTTTGCTAACTCTATTTCGTATTTTCCGTTTCTACGAAGATGCTCCCCATAGTACGAACGAGCCTGCTTTAACTGGTAGGAACCTAGAGCTACTGTCATCAAATCATGTAACGTAAGTCTTGGAAATGTGTCCAAATGTGGATGCTCAGCATCTATGGTTTGGAAAATGGCTCTCCTTCTATTAATATTTTCATTTTGTATGTACGCACCCAAATGATTTATTGAATTCAATCTCGCTTTAGCCAATTCTAAGAACTGCTGAGCATCAGGCCGGTCCACAATTGGTGCATGGAATTTATTTAACAGTGCACATGCAATATTAAAGTCTAACATAAGGTGTGTCGATGCGCGGTTGAAGTATTCTTGCCGAAATAATTTAAAATCGCGTTTTATACGTCCATTGACAACTTCAACCACCCATCGACACATTGTAACACATCTTGATCGATTTGCCTGTTCTGTGGTCAACTGATTATTGCCTTCCAAAAGTGACTCAGGCATATGAGCTTTATAGCCATAGCTATGCAATTCCCCAACTACATCTCTGAAGCCCCTATCTAAAATAAAAACATCCCCAGGCCTAAAATAATTTCTTAATACACTGGTTTCATTGCGAAACTCAGAGGACATAATGTCCGAATCACTTTTAGTTGCTGGGAATGGGCCAAGTGATTGTAAAATAAATCCATCACAGCAGACAAACAAAAATGGTTTTACCAAATTAACATATTTATGTAAGCTGTATGTTTGTTTTTGATAAGAATAATTACTACTACTTTGTACGTAGACATAAGTACCATCACATATAACAATTGCTGGCTTGGTAGCAACTGGCATATCTGGGTTTCCAAATAGACCCTCTGGAATGATTTTATTTCTACCTGCCACATCTTGTATTGACATGTGACCAAGTCCTAAATATAAGGGTACAAATGTATTACCCAAACAATGTCTAGCTTTAGACATATATCTTTCTAAAGTGCTTCTAGGAAGTCGAAACAATGTCGACAAGCGTTCATTGCTGTCACCAGTTCTAAGTTTAACTAACATAATACTTAAAGCCACACTAGGACAAGGAGTTTCTGATGCCAGCTGTGGTACATGTGACAACAATTGATAAAATTGTTCAGCATTGATTCCTAACCAATAATGACAGAGGTGTGGATTCATTTCTCTAATATTAGAAAAGTCGTACTGTCTGCGAGTACCACTATCCATAATTGACATCATGTCATCCATTTGGCCCCCAGTAAAATCATTATAATGAAACTGTAATTCATTCCAAGAACCAATACAAAGATGATAACTGCATATTCGGGCACTAACTGGTACGTACAATTTATGCTCTGACAATAACATTTCCTTTATAACAGATGGTACTAGCAAACGTTCTGTATTCCTACAATCATCAAAAATACAATGCCGTGATGATGCGGCTGCTCTTTTATAAATACGTGAGATTATTTTAGGGCGGGGTGCATAATTATGCTCCTGATGCAATTGCTGAATAGGTTGTGGTGGTGGCGTAGGTATTGAGAAACCCCTTAAAGGCACAGATGTTTCTGATGCACTTTCCACTTCATGACTTGATGTAGGAACATCTACGTTCTCTTGTGTTGCAATGGCTTGTATATGAACAAACTGCTGTTGCCTATTTTGATCATGCTGATTCTGTCTCCTGACACTTCTATAGGCATTAGTCCAACAACGTAAGCAAACTTTTTCTAGCCGGTGTACCTAAAAAATAAAATTGAAAGCTTTAATCTTGCTATTAAGGATTTCAAGCATAACTTTTATACACTTAAAACAATTATGATATGTGAAATATAAGACAAATACAAATGATCAACTTAAAAACGTCATGATCAATATTATGAATTATTAGATGTTAGTAAACAATCCAAGAACCATTTTAATGAGGGATAACAATAATAATGAGTGAAGTGTTATAATTTATAAGTATAAATACCTGCTGAGTAGGTATGCATGACATTATGACATTTCCTTCAAGGCTATTAATTGATACTCGGTGTGTCTTAGCTCTTAATATAGAAGATCCACATACAAAACACACTTGTTGATGTCCATAAGCTCGTTCAACTGTTGCTCCACATGACAAGTTTAGAGTTGCTCTTTCAAGTATTGTATAACATTCTTGACAAACAACATCTTCCGCTGACACCTAAAAATATATATAAAAGATACATAAAACATTCTTTTTGGATATTGACCTTAGCATTAGTTAAATAAAAATTATACATTATTTTCAAAAGTATTTACAAAAGTATAACTTCTTTTTGGGGTGGTATCTCATCATGATTATTAATTATTATTTATAGAATCAGATAGATCAGCTGTAAAAGTTAAATGCACAAGAAAATACAAATAGTGCTAAAAGACTAAGACTCTGGTGGCTTAAGGCCAGTTCTTCATAGAAAACATTATCCCACACTAGGATTTTTTTCTGTGTTGTGAGTGTGTTTACAAACATCTAAATTCACATACACAAACAGCATAATTCTACTTGTAGATTATACAAATATTTGTTTTGTAAGGGAATTGAACCTGCAACATGTAACACAGCAGTAGATTGCTTGATCACTGCACTGTGTTACCAAAAGTTAAAATCCTGTGTATTGTTTGGTTGAAAATGTATAGGATTTTAACAAATAGTTATGCTTAATTACTGATCAAATAACTGGCTATTAGTATTATCTAAAGTATTATCAAATTAGTATAATCTATTATCAAGCAATATTATTCATAATATAACATACTGTACGTAAGCTTGGCACACGTGTCTAAAAAGTGTGCGAGCCTGAGAAAAATGGTAAAAACTACAATAAAACATAACTCAATAAATAAGATTATACTGACCGTTGCTGGTGCAATCCAGGTTCGTAAAATGCTAACCATTGTGTCCGTTGCGTCCCCGAGTTGACGAAAGTGCAAAGGATGTACCAGAGAAAGGGCACAGTTCACACAGCGCGACATTTTAAAACAGTTGTTTATGATTTTCTGCACAGAGACTCGGACCGTAGTCGCAAAAAACGTTCTACACAATCCACAGCACTAGCACAGTAACAACACAATAGTCTTGAAAAAGATATCTTGTTCGTGCAGGAATCCGAAGACTCTACTGGACACAAACTCGACGTAATAATAAGTTATATGTTATGACAACAAACTCAACAACTTATTAAGGAAAACAAAACTTCGCCGTCGCGCCAATACAATGCTGTTTGACTTGACAGTGACACTTAAATTGATGAATGACAGTTCACCTTCTTTTTGCCCGTCATAGTGTTATCAACAATTAATCTAAATCTCCCTGACTATAACTGATTTGTCAACATACGAAAGATTGATAATAAGAAAATAAATGTTTTATTTTAATATAATTAATTAAAAATAAAAGTATAAATCACGTGGGAATATCTCACATTTAAAATATTTTTTAAAACTCAGCGTCTGCCTATTTGCCGTACCCGATTACCGGGAAGTTCATAAAGTTGACAACACTGCTTTCACTTAAAGATAGCCATTTTGAAAATAATGCAAATAAAATCGAAATAATAACTATTTAGACCCAAAATATTAACCCCACATTTAATTTCGCTCAAAATAACTAAGAAAAGTTTTAAAAAGATTTCATAATTTATGAGTATATTTTTGTGGCTATACAGTTCTCTTCTATAGCGATACTGATTTTGGGCAATCTCCTTTGACTAAAAACTAAGATCAGCTTTGATTTATTGCAAGTTTTAAGAAATATTTATTTAAGATTTTAAACTTGGTGCATGAGCGTAAATTAATGTTTCAAGGAGTTGTAGATACCCCACTAATACCCAGAAAATGTTACTTTTACAGGCAATCAAATCTGTAACGCATTGCTCAGTAGCTGACCATTGCACTAACCGTACAGTACAGTCAAGGAGATTACACAATGTGCCCAAGTATCATAACATGATGCTTAACTTTTTTTATGGCATGCTAAATGAGCAGACGTATCACCTGATGGTAAGCAATCGGCGTCGCCCGCGGACACCTGGAACACGAGAAGCGTTACAAGTGCGTTACCGGCCTTTTGTGGATTAGGAGTTTAAGGATTGTTGGGGATTCGGGGATTGGGGTGATTGGGGAAGGGGGGGAGAGATATTTGGCGCCGGCCAATCAGAGTGCCGAACGCGTACTCGTTTCGAATACTTTAAACGTAAATGAAACTGTACTAAGGCCTCAGGTGACTTAACGTAGCCCAATGTTTGCTGTGAATATTTGTTAATATTCACGGCAAGTCAACACCTTAACTTCTAATTTATTTACCAAGAGAACACTGGTGTCCACTCTTATCTATTATAGACCTTATTTCAAACGTTTAGGGACTACTTTTGTGTGAACGAGTTTAGTTACAAGTTACAAGATGTAAATTCTAGTCGTAATAACAATTATTTTTTGTTCCCAGGACACAATAAACAACTACCTAACAGGGGTCAACGACCCGGACCCGCCATCTTGGCTACCAGATGATATACTAAACCTCAACAGTTTGGATGAGCCGGACAACTTGATGGAGAAGTTCAATGGCAACACGCAAGATGGAGTCACCGTCAAGTTGTTGTGTGGAGCTGATCTCTTGGAGTCCTTCGCCACTCCTGGACTGTGGTCCGATGAAGATGTGAGTTCCTTATCTACTTATTATTGGCCTATGAAGGTAGACATCGGTATGAGGGATTGATTGTACGATAAAATAACAATTGCTCGCTGGTACAATTATTTGAACATTACATTTCACTACTTGCGTAAATCTTATACGCTCTGCTCAGCTCCTATTGGTCGTAGCGTGATGTTTTATAGCCTATAGCCATCCTCGATAAATGCGCTATCCAACACAAAAAGAATTATTCAAATCAGACTTGTAGTTCCGGAGATTAGCGCGTTCAAACAAACAAACAAACTCTTCCGCTTTATATAAAAGCATAAGATATATAAAGCTAAGGAGTTTATTTGTTTGTTTGGACGCCCTAATCTCAAAAACTACTGGTCCGACTTGGAATAAGATAGTCTATTTATCGAGGAAGGCTATAAAACCTCACGCTACGAGGTGCCGAGCAGAGTGGGTGAACTGCACGGAAATAGCTAGTACTTGTATAAAAAAGCCAAATTAAAGTTGGTTCTTAAAACACTACTTGGTTCGATTGTGACCCTTTAATTTTGGGCATTAACTTAGTGTAATCAGAAAATAAATTCATCAATCATATTACACTGGAAATAAAAATTATTAAATACATGATGTCATACCCAATTCATGTTTTTAATTACTCATGGTTTTACAAAAGATCTTGTCATAATCTGTGATATAATATCGACGTGATTTATACTAACAATTGGAACACAGAATGACTTGTTATGTTTTTCGGCTTTCTTACCTAATTAAATGAAAAACAAAGGCAATGAAGTAACGATCAGTCCAACAAAAAGAAAACAATTGAAATTCAAGAACGCAATTAAAGTAAATATTACCTGCTTATCCCCTAGTAAAACTAGAAACGTAGTTCCATTAATACTACACTTCTTGTTACAGTTTATCTTTATTTTAAAGGCATTAAGGTAGAGTTTTCTATTGTATAATAATTAAGTTATACCTTAATTTTTTTTGTATTATGAATTCCAGTTGGAGACGATAGTGGGTCGCCATGGACTTGTGGTGGTGACCCGGGCTGGCTGTGATCCCGGCAAGTTCATATACGAGTCGGATATACTCTACAAACATAGGGTAAGTATCATATTTACCTTTTATTTTTTCTATTTTTCATGGGATAAACCTGCAAACGAGCAGACGGATCATCTTATGGTAAGCAATCGGCGTCGCCCATGGACACCTGAAACACAAGAGGTGTTACAAGTGCGTTACCGGCCTTTTGGGGATTAGGAGTTTGAGGATTCAGCGATTGGGAAGATTAGGGAGGGGGGGGGGGGGTAATTGGGTCCCCGGTAACTTTACTCACACTACGAAACACAATGCAAGCGCTGTTTTTCTGCTCGTCTGTGGTATCGCTCCGGTCGAGCTGGCCCATTCGTGCCGAAGCATGGCTTTCTCATACTTTAGAAAGTAATTCTGTTGCAAACTGTAACAAGTTATGTTACATATGGTAACAAAATAATTTGTTATATAGGGTCACCATTTGTTAAGGGGTAAATTAGGGTAAGGGTAACAAGATCTGGAACATTTTTTGTGTTATCCATAAATTGTTGTTTCAAGTCTGGGTGTGAAGTGTATGTAGATTTGTATGTTTGTTAACGCGCCCAAGACACAGGACGAAAACCTAGCTTGCCAAATTAAAAACAATATGCATAATTGCCTGCCTCCTTATGAATTAACTCGTTAAGCACCTTGGGGGTCTCTGGTGACCAACGCGAACGATTTAACTTCAACAGTTTTCTTTTGGCAGTCAAAGACTATCGCCCGAATACTGAAAGGTACTCAACGTTAAGTTGCACTTAAATATCGCGCCATCTCTGTCATATTACGATCTCCGGCCACCGTAAGCGCGAGCCTGCGGACGGCGAGCATGGGTGGCTCCCCGTCCGACAAGAAACAGACCCGAGCGTACGGCGCCGAGCATTCCGCGCGCGCCTCAAAGAGCTATCAGACCACCACAGATGGGGCCCAACAGGGCCGATGCCGATTCGAAGTCGCGGAGAACTTAACGGGCTACCGGGGCTCCGGCTCGACGTACAGGAGAAGGAACGGGGTGGTTTTTAGTCAGTAAGAGTCTGACATTCCCTCCCGCCTCACCCAGGCGGGAGCAGTCATTCGATGATTTTCCCTCCTAAAAAAAATCTCTGTCATTTTACAAAGAATTTGTAGTGACAGAACTATATTTAAGCGCGTTGAGTGGCGTATGTCCTATGCCGACATTAGTATAAGTAAATACAAAATGTTCTTTAGTATTTATCGATAAGCCTATTTCTAATCTACATAAACTAATTATTATATCAAAAACATGAATGAATTAGTGATAACATAATGTATTTGATAAAGTAAATCAGTTCGACTCATGCTTGACCGATTATGGATGTCTAGAGCTAATGTTTTTTTAGATTATATCGATAAAGTTTTATTTAAAAGTAGGTTACAACTACGTAATGAAACATACCTGTTTTTTTTCGCAAAGGGGACGGTGAGTTTGTATTTACCTGTTATCTTACAACATAACATCACGGCTTTTATCCCCAAAGGGTTAGGCAGAGGTAAACATTACGGCACTTAATGCCACTGTGCAATGTAACACCCATAACGTCACGCTTTTTATCCCCGAAGGGGTAGGCAGATGTGCACATTATACCACTGTACAATGTAACACCCACATTTCACAATTTATGTTATGAGTCCCATGTAATAGTGGGTGAGCCTATTGCCATATACCGGGCACAATTCCAGACTCCGTGCTAGTACTGAGATTTTTTTTCAGTTGATTCAGTCGCACTTGCGACCACTCGGCCGGTGGATAAAAAGGCATGATGTTATGGTATGGGTAATTTTTCGCCATTCAAATCAAATCAAATCAAAATCATTTATTCATTACATTTTGGGTAAACAATTATGATCACAGTATTAAGTTAGTACCACCAAAATCTGCCCTCACAGGCGTATGAAATATTGTTAGCTTAAGTCAATGAAGGTAAAATTACAAAAAAAATGTCATAGTATATACATTAAAATGTCAGTGCTTAAATAAATAAAATTCACTTATGCCCTAATATATATGCATATTAATAAATATATTCAAATTAATGAATCTTTAATTCATTACAGAAAAACGTGATCCTAGTAACGAACTATATAGCCAATGAAGTAAGTTCGACGCAGATACGTCGGCTGGTGAGTCGAGGGGAGAGCGCCAAGTATCTGACGGATGACGGAGTACTGGCCTATGTACGACAACATTCATTGTACGGCGCGACTCGGGAACATACGTGAGTACTATTTTTTATTTGTTCGGTATGAAAGGATTGATAGAAGAATATGTGTAGGTTGGTATTATTCTAGAACAGGGTTGTCCAAACTATAAATAAATAAATATATGTAAATATACCTTCACTATAAATAAATAAATAATAAAAGTATATGTAAATATACCTTCGCGTGCTAATTAAATTTCTTACAAAAGCTGGAGGGCCTGAAAAATATTTTCAGTTGTATAATGACAGAAATCAGAAATAATTTATTTGCCAAAAATGTAGGTAACAAATATGTTGTTTTATAGCTTATAGAGAATCCCAGTACATTTTGCCTTACGTGCATGCATGCAAAATTATTGAATTAGTTAAATAAAATTATTAAATACTTTTAAATAAAATAAAATAAATTAATAACAATCAAATCATTCATAATTTGGTACAACACAAGTTATACAAAAATACTTATAATAGAACATCAGAAATTTAGATTAATAGAAACTTTCATCATCAAAAAAATGTAACATTTAACATTGTATTCTTTACTCATAGACTAAACTTATATACACATCATACACTGAATTTTATTATTATTATTGCACATATGATGAAGATGTTGAGATTAAAATGTTTGTCGCGGGCCATATGAAAGCAAGCCACGGCCCGCAGGCGGCTCGCGGGCCTTTGTTTGTACAGCCCTATTCTAGAAGATAGTAGTAAAGAAACAGGATAAGTGTAATTTGGGTTTTGTACTTGTAATTTGGCGGTAAGGTATGCCAAGTGGTTTTGAAATTTGGGAATCGCGATGGTAGCAAGAAGATATAATTTGTTGCATGTTGATAGGCTAAAGTATTATGATTCTATATCATGGTGTGGCCAAATCACCATATCAGAAGATCAGAAACACCAGAGGGCTTACTCTTGAATCCAATTCCGATCGATCGACATTGGTATTGTGAAATTACGTACTCTTGAGTTGCAACACTAGCGCCCATTGCATTCGTATTGCGTGGATATTGATTGAACTAAATGGTATTGAGTTTGGCTTTATATTCCGAAGTCTAAATGCTATTGTAACTGCTACGATAGGGGTTTGTATAGGTTTGACATTAAATAATTATTGAGATTTTATTGGATTAAAATTGCATTGACATTGAGATCGGTTTCAAGAGTAAGCACACAGGTCAGAGGTAAACTCGGAAGTACAAAATTCTATCAAAAATATACTAATTAGGACCTTACGTTTTAGGGAATACTCGCTATTTTCTGTTGATACGTTAACATGCAATTATTCAGCAACTTTCGTTTTTATTTCCAGTGCGAAAAACTCTGAAAAAGACCAATCACCATCAAAGTGTTCAATTTAATGTTATTAGAAACTCGACTTTGAAGATATGAATTTAAAGTTTAGATTTGTGTACCTCGCAAGATAGTAGTTCTAAATTATTTTTTTATATTATCTGTGATAAGAAATCTTAATAACTAAGTGTACTGAGTATGTAATAATTAACTGAATTTATATTTTTGTGTATTTGTTTTTATAGAATTTTTTTATGTAAATAAATTGATGTTTACTATAGTTTTCGTGTCTTTTGTGTTCAAAATACAGCTGTACACAAATATCTCCATAATTTCTAACATTAACGTATTTTCTAAGACATAACATATTATTCCATACATTACATTTAAAATACTAACCCAAAATTCCTTTTACACGCTGCCTCTGGAACAGTGAGTATACAATCCTCAACGAACTAATCGCTAGCTACGATAAACGTTCACCACAGGACGTCACAATGACGTCACCCGAAGAAACCAGCTTCAAAAACATTCTCATATCAATCCGAGACAAACCATCCATAGTTGACGAAACCATCACAGTCAAACGACCACGAAAGGCAAACTTTTTAATGCCAAACTCTCATACAGACTCAGTAAGCCCTATATGTGAGCCGTTAAAGCCCAAAATGGCATACATAGACAAGGTCCCATCGACCTACGTGCCTGGCAAAGCTGTGAAAATAGTCAGCGACACGACCGAGCATAAGTTAGACAAGGTAACGTTAGACACTACTTATAGCTCCCTCGACAGTTATTTAAGCAAAGATTTGGACTTCGATATTTACAAACGGCGGGTAAGTGAGGGTAATGTGGGTAAAGCCGAAGTGGAACCGACGAAAAAACGATGTTCGTCCACTATAAGGAAGTTGAAACCCGATGAAATGAAGAAGAGTAAGTCTGAAGTCAGTAAGTTGTGTGATAAAATGAAAAGTATAAAGATTAAAGAAAGTTCGGGAAGGAATTATAAGACTAGGAGCTGTAATGACATTGTTAGGTTGATTCTCACTAAACATGGGATTCATGTTATTAGTGATACTGAGGCTATTGTGTAGGTTGAGTTGTTTTTTTGGACTTAAGGTGAGGTTTCATTGGAGGAGTAAGCACTAGAGATCTTGTGAAGTTTGGATTTGATCTTTTAATGTAATAGAGTAGTTTCCTAAATATTATTTTAATGTCTTACTGGTACGTTATTTTAAAACTTTGGACACGTATTTTTTCTTTTCTCACAAAATTAAATACTTTCCACGATATATTAATTTGAAATGACGTCACAGCGTGTCACATTTTGTAGCATATTTTTATTTTACTTCACGTTAGATGATTCAATAACGAAATATTTTTTATTTAAATGGTAACAAAGAAAGAACTAGACTGCCTAGTTGGCCGAATGGTCGCTAGTGCGCCTGTCAAGGTCAGACAAGGGGTCTCGGATTCGAATCCCGGGCAAAATGTACCATTGGGTTTTAAAAAAATGCCACTGGTCGCACGGAGTCTGGAATTGTGCTCGGTATATGGCAATAGGCTCCCCCCCTATTACATGGGACTCATAACATAAATAGTGCAAAGTGGGTGTTACATTGTACAATGGCATTAAGTGCCGTAATGTGCACCTCTCCTACCTCTTCGGGGATAAAAAGGCGTGATGTTATGTTATGGTAACAAAGAACTTTTCAGTGAAATCTCAACTTAAGTACATACATTCGCTATTTCGCTCAAAAAAAATATAAAAATCATTAAATTCATAAATGCAGTCAATTTATAACGGAATTGTAAGGTTTCTATATGTAGCTTGAAATTCTACGAAAATCGAGTATTTTAAGTTATTTTTCAATATTGTCTTCCAAAGTATGAATTTATTTGTCTATTTATAATTCAAGTTTCATCAAAATCTTCGACAAATCTCCCAAAAGGTGTATAATCAAATTTGAACCTTATACTAATCGACTCATTATACATTTTTGATTAGAATATTAATGGACAAAGGACCCTTTTGAAAAAACCCTTTGTATATAGTGACTATTGTATGTAAAACTCTTTTTATAATGATATTGCTGTTTTAGTATAAAATGTCTATTGTCTAATATAACTATTGCTATATATATTAGTGTAAAATTAGAAGAGGAAGGATAAATAGATATAGCCTAAATTTTTTGCTAAAATCTAGTCTAAATTATCACAAACTTATATTTGCGCGTTTTCTTAATACCCGAAGAATTTGTTGACATTTTTTTCAAAGTTGTGTAATACAACAAAAATCAGTTATAGTAGCTTATGTTTGTGGGTCCCGGTGTAGCTTGAAACTAGTCGAGGCGATTTGAACAGATAACTTGAGTAAGATTTACAAATATACAATTTGTTTTTGAGTGCCAAATGAGGTAATAACTATTTATCCTTCCTTCGTTTAGACGTTAGTACCATCTTTCGATCTATACATATATACATTTGCTATTAAAACACTAATTACCCTTATCAAGAGAGAATTCTATTTGTAAGATATTGTCGTATATACATATATGTATCTATGTATTCATGTCAGCATATAACAGATTTTCAACCTTATAACTAAATTATAAAGTTGAAATTCAATTTTAATGTGCTGGTGTGCCACGTATTATGAACTTTTTATAACCTGTGAATTTACTTAACCTTTTTATAGAATACTTTGAATTCTAAATAAATTTCAATTTAAACGAATTAAAACCTTAACAGTATTAATAAAGCTCATATTTATACGTGAACCAAATGCTACACGCTTTAAACGAAATTGAGTATTAATTAATTGAATTTAAAATTGTTTTTAAATAAACAATTTATTGTTCTTTAGTGAATAACCGTGGCCTCTGCCCTGTAACTTGTGCAATTACCTTTATACTGCTTTTTATCAAAATTTGAAAGGCTTTAAAGAAATATTTATTATATTATACATTTTACTTACCTACCTTGAATTGATACTATCTTATAATATTATACGAAAATATTGACTTAAAAATACACATTGTTGTTTTTTACTGACTATATTTCATTGCATCCAAATGTTGATCAATGATATGAAACATTCGGCAATCAAAATATACTAAAGAATGTTTTACTAAATTGCTACATAACAATTTATATCTTTATTGGCTATGTGCAAAGCGTGTAGAGGCGGACAGATAACGACCGCAGCGCACAACACGGCAGAAACTGGAAACAAATGCGGAAACAAACAGATGCAAACCCGTTTTTTATTATTATATTCATTTTACAGTAAACCTATTGAATAAATTACACTTAAATAATGTCAACAATACTATTTTAATCTTTGGTTTAAGTTTTATTTGCAAAAAAAATATAATGTTTACATTGTTATTATTTGACAGCTTCGCAAATGTTGTAAACGCTACTCGTCGCCACCGTCGCGCACATAGCCAATTTTAACCTACAGACTCAAAATATGACAATACAATACAATTTTTTTGCGACCACTATATCTGTATCTTGAAATTTTTGTACTCATTTTATGCCCAATTACAGGCGAGAATATAAGTTACTGATATTACTGTCGACATTTTTAAATCTTTATACTTGTTTATAAATAATTTTAAATAATAAAAATAGATTTTAAATAGTGCCAATTTATTAAAAATTATTGTTGCTGTTTCTACTATTTTATTGCATGAAATTAAATAATAAAATAATTTCAAATGTAGATAAACGTTAAATTATTATTAATATTAATTAATTGTCTTTAAAATTTATTAAATGTTAACAGTATTAAATAGATTTAAATGGTTAAAAATAGTTTGTTGATGTAGTTTAAAAATATGTAGCGTTAAACAATGTTAAATTAGAGGTTATGTTAATGACATTATACATGGTGTATTTGTATAAATTAACGTTTAACTGTCATCGAATAATTAGTTTATTTGACTTCTCCTATTTGAATATTACCATGTTCCCTTAGTTTTATTATAAGATATTTAAAGAGGTGAATTTTAAATCTGAAGTTGCTATAAAAACAAAATATTTTTAATTATAAAGCTGTATGTTTTAATGTATATAGGGACATTATATCGGGGGGTAACGGACTATTTGGTTTAAGCGACATTTTGGGCGATATTGAGTTATTATATTATTATATATTCGACGGAGAAAAATTCGCTGATTCCGAATATATATATATAACTCAATATCGACCAAAATGTCGCTTAGTCCGTTACCCCTCGATATTGTTTCTTAATTATGTTACGTAAGATTGAAGATATAAATTTTAGTTAGATTGTATTTCTTATAGATTTTTCCGCCATTGTTATTATGAAAGCATGTTTTGATGTCGTGGCTTCTCTTAGTATTTTGTAATGTTTGTGTTATTGTGTATTGATCCCCTATATAGATGAATTTATTTCTAATTATGCATTGTTTCGTACCTTTGTCTTGCCTCCCGAGATCTAGAAATGAGAAACGAAATAATACTCTATAGTCAGAATTTTAATTAGATTCCAGATTTGACAATAGCTACTGTCATTTTGTGAAATAATGATACCACATATAATAGTGTAGTGATGCACACAAAAATCGATAAACAATCAGTGTGTGTGATTTATAATAAATGTTACAGAAAGTGACAGGATAGCGATAGCGATGACGGCGACAATTTATAAAATAACTTATTACCATAATACATCTATCTGTTTTATTTGTCATGTTCCTTCATGATTACATTTATTTTTTATTTCACACACAATTATACAAGAAACCTCTCAGATCGTTAATTAATCGTCAAAACTAAATTATCGGTTCAGAAATATTTAATTTCCTGATATACTTAGTTCACGAGAGTAAAATTATAATTATTATAAACGAGAAGAATCGATCCAGAAATATTGCATTTCCATATCGAATAATTTCGCAACGTCACTATTTAGTACTTGTCATAACGTTGCCACACTGAAATTGTCAAATCTGGAATCGAATTAAAATTCCGACTATAGGCTACATTATTTGCGATTGAAAATATACAAACTGTCTTATGGTCTCCATCAGCTCGATCATGAGACCGAGCTTCGACTCTACATCTATACACTGCCAGTCACTTTGTAGATATCGTCACTCCATCTACTTGGAGGGCGTCTAACTAATGGACAAATCTGTACTAAGCATTGAACAAAACCGGGTTGATCACAGTACTGTAATTAATGACGACCTTATTTTTTTCTGCTAAATTTTGATTCTTTGTCTAATTAAAAATGAAGGCAGACATAAAATGTATGTTACATGTTACCAGCTGATAATAATTAGCTTATTTTTCCAACTGTGAATAGACGTTTGTTTTTCATTTCTAGATCCAAAATTATGTATTGTTTGACCCCGCCCCTTTTATTTTTCTCCTAACTTGGGTGTTGTGTTGTGTAGGGAGGCGGATGCCCGTTGTAGCTGACGTGTTGCGCGCGCCGCGACGAGACGACTACGTAATGGGGCGTCACCGTAGCAGGGACGTAGCGAGTTCGTAGCGGGACTGTATCGAGTTCGTAGCGAGTTCGTAGCCGGACTGTATCGAGTTCGTAGCGAGTTCGTAGCTGGGAGGGGCGGAGCGCGCATACCCTATTCCTAATTATAAGTTTATTCTACTTAGTGCTTCGCGTGTCCACTAGTTTGATGTTCGTTTATGATTATTGTTACGGCAAATGTTTGAATGTTTTATGTCGGAATCTTCGAAAGAATAAAACTTTTTCCGAGTAGCTGTGGTTTTATAACCACAATCTTTGTCTTGTAAAATCAAAATAATAATTTCACACTAAATCGCGAGTGAAATCACAAAAGCACCACTTTTCAATATGTAATTGTTATATTAAATACTTAAAAATATATCATTTGGTGGAAATGGAATGTGATACATGTTGTGGCAAAATTAAATATTTTTGGAGAATGTATACAATGTTATAATAAAATGTTACGTTTAAATCGCTCAATGTTGCAAGTGCAAAAAATATTGTTCTAAAAAGCTTGTCGGTTTGTCTATGATATAAAGTGAATGTTTTTGTATCAGCTAGTGGACACTTTATTGGTTTAGTTT